CGTGCGTTTTTGAATTTTGATCATTTTTTGTCGGAGAACGGCGAAACAAAAATTTCACAACGGTGCGCACCTTTTTGATTAACGGCTGCAAATCATCAGTCAGTTCAATAGAGTCATTCTCTTCACTCATTACAACTTGAAACCCGCCGGAAAAGTCTTCATCATTATTGGTTATGTTTGTGTCATCAGTATTTCCTCGTCACTTTCTCTGTTATTGCATATTACTTTCAAGTTTTTTTTGCAGAAATTGACGATTTTTTTGTACAAAATATCTTGAATACCTAGTTGAATCCCATGTCTAATGCACAACTGTTGATCACAGTTACTTAAACGCCCCACTTTCTACATTACCGAAACTTTTCATATTTACGTTAGTGCAAAATTCAAACACGCGTTCTACATTAAAGCCAGTGACGTAATGATAATATTTTAAATTGGTGCTTCATTATTTAATGAAAACACGAAAGTAAATGGAATACTTAAAACTTCCAGTCACGATTAAACAACGCTTCCGGTAAGAAAAAGATAGCTAGATGACAAAAGACGTGTTTCAATCGTCTAAAACAAGTATTCTACGTATTTTATACGTCTTAAACGCTAGCTGTTCTCTGGCTAGTTGCTAGCTCATTTCCTACCAAACCTAGTGGGAAATGAGCTGGCAACTAGATATTAAGTATAAAGTACGTAGAATACTTGTTTTAGACAATTTAAACACGTCTTTTCTCATCTAGCTATCTTTTTCCAACCGGAAGCGTTGTTGAAAGTTTTAAGTATTTCATTTACTTTAGTGTTTCACGTAAAGAGGGCGATAGCACCTGCTATATCATAAGCCCTCTACATATATTTTTAATACCGGTATTGAGCCAAACTAATACCGGTATTTCGGTACTTAAAATTGTCCGGTAATACCGGTATTCCGGTACCGGTACTACCGGTATTGGAAGCACTCTATGAAAGTATATAAGATATATGATAGAAGAAGAAAAAAAAAAAAGAAAAAAAAAAAAAAAAAAGAGAACAATTGAAAGAAAATAAAAAAAAAGAACTCGAAACTTACGACCAAATAAAACGAGTCTTAACTACTCAAGTGATATTATAAAAAAGGAAAAAGATGAGTTAAGTGATTTTCTAAAAGAGGATGAACTTATATTTGACGATATTCAATCTTTGTTAAGTGATAATAACGATGTTATTGTTTTCCAGCTTAATAAAAAAAGTTTACACATACAACCAAAAATGTTCAAACTTGGTGTTCCATTATTTATTTTAGAAATTTTTGATGATTATTCATTTGTAGCTTACCATAATGGCACAACTTGTAATATTTCATCTTTAACTGTAAACAAATTAAAGTTAATAAAAACAAAATCAGCTTTATTTGAAGCTGTTTGATTTTTAAAAAATAAAGAAAGTTCGCATCAGTCAAATGTTTTATTTGAGCACCTTAATGCTATGAGAAAAGTTAATGTTGGTGAAGTTTTATACACTCCAGATATTATATGTAGAGCATATGAGTATTTTGCTATGCGACGAAGTTTATATGATCGTTTATGTATTGACTACAAGTTGCCAAGTATACGAACTTTAACACGATTGACTTCAAAAATAAGCTCGATGGAGGACCTAAATTTTGTAAATAGAATTTTTATGAATTTAGATCCATTGAAATGAACTTCCATACTACTAATTGATGAGGTTTATGTTAAAGCTTCATTACTTTACCAAAGAGGTGCTTTGTTTGGTCAGTAAACTTCCCTAAAAAGTTAGCTAAAACAATTTTATCATTTATGATTAAATGTCTTTTTGGTGGTCCAGAATTTATATGTAGAGCTCAACCTGTTGAAAATCTTTCTTCTGAATTTCAATTTACTCAATGTCAACAAATTGTTGATACAATAAATAATATTGAAAATAGTAAAACACTGGCAATAATAATTACTGATGGTAACCGTGTAAATCAAAGGTTTTTTGAAATGTTTGAAACAGTTGATAATAAACCATGGTTAACAAATCAGGTATATATTTATTGTATGATTATGTGCATCTCTTGAAATCTATACGAAACAATTGGTTAACAGAAAAGACTGGCCAGCTTCAATTTTTAAACAATGGAGTGGCCAGCTTCAATTTTTAAACAATGGAGAACTAGCTTTGGCTAAATGGAGTGATTTAGAAACTTTATATAAAATTGAGTGCAATAGTCTTTTTAAACTCTCTCAACTTACAGCTAAATCAGTTTATCCAAAACCAATAGAGAGACAATCTGTAAAGTTTTGTTTGTCTGTTTTTTGCGAAGAAACAGTAGCTGCATTAAGAACACATCCAGAGATTGAAAATAAAGCATTTGAAGGTACTGCTGTATTTATTGAAAAAATTATTTCTTTTTGGAATGTTGTAAAAATCAAAGCACCTGGCGTTCTCATTTAGAAATAAATTATGTGGAGAAATCCACTCTGTTGGTGATCAACAGTTACAACTGCTACGAAATATTGCTAAACTGTCAAGTTGTATGAAACCTACAGGTAAGCGTGTAAAACAGCTTACTCTAGATACTAGCAATGCAATAGCGCATACATGCTAAGGCCTAATTGATCTTGTAGAAACTTTGTTGAGTAATGTAGCGAAGTATGTTTTATTAGGTTGAGCCTATTAGTAATGAGCGAAGTATGTTTTATTAGGTTGGTTTACAACAGATCCACTTGAAAAAGCTTTTTCTAAACTTCGACAGGGATCTGGAGGTACTTACTTTATAAACGCTAAATCTGTAATTGAAAAAATTAATATTCAACATACTAAATTGATATTACAACTTGACATTCCTGTTGATGGTATTGATGGTCATACTTGTGACACATGTTTTAGAGATGTTTCTACTGATGAAAAAGAACAGCTGGACAATATACATGATCTTGTAATAAATCGATATTAGTGGCTATAGTTTACATAGCTGGCTATGTGCAAAAAAGCGAAATAAAGATTCATGATGACACTAACAATTATTATTATAATTATGGAAGTTATCTGAATAGCGTAAACAGAGGGGGACTTGAAATTCCTTCAGATACTCTAGTCCAATGGTCAATATTTTGCTTTTTGTTTTTTCAATGTGCTACTGGCTCTTTATGTAGAACATTTTGTGTTACTCAGTTTCAGTTCATTGCAGCTAAATATAAATTTAAAACCACAAAAAAACAATGCAGAATATATTCTAATATTTTGCTAAAGAATTATGCAATAGTTACCACTCCGAGCAGTAGCAAAGAATCTAAAACGAAAGTACTAAAGCTGTCATAATTTATGTGAAAATTAGTTTTGTAATTTATGCTATTTACTTGTTATGTTTTTTATTTCCACTTTAGCCTTAATGTCTCTCGATATGTTTGGATTTGTAAATATTTACTCTGTTGAGATATATTGATAAAACTTTTTTGCAAAAATCAGTTTTTTTTTTTTATTGTTGGTGATTTTTGTTACCTTTTATTTTTAGTTATGTTTCTGTAAGCAAATATATATATATATATATATATATATATATATATATATATATATATATATATATATATATATATAATTATCTTACTAATATATAGTTATATATTATTATGATACTTCTTGTTATTGATACTATTATTGATATTATTATTACTATTATTGATACTATTTAATATTACATTAATACTCTTAATGAAATTTGAAATATAATTCTTTTAACAATTTTTTTGGTTTTCTTTTTATATTTCCACCTTTATTAGAGATTTTTTATTAGAAAACAAACACTGCCATTACGCCCTACCAAATATAAAAACATCAATATTTTTGTAAGTGAAAGTTAAATCGGCCTTCAGTTTTTACAGCGTTTAGCACGACGTCAAGGTCTGTTATTATAGAAAGCCGTGGGTTCTAGGTATAATACTAGTTTTTAGTGCGCTCTTTACTGTATGTTAAATAAATTAATTTTTAATTAGTAAACTAAAAATTTTTATATAAAAAAAAAAAAAATTATACAAACAAATTAAGAGTAAATTTAGTTATTAACAAAATTTACTCTAAATAATTAGTAAATTTCTAAAAAATATATATTTTGTTTAACAATGTTAAACAAAATATTATATATATTTTAGAAATTTACGTAAATGTAATATTGTGTTTCTTTTCAAAATATTTGCTATGTAAAACCGAAAATTATATTTGTATTTGAGGCTTGTACATTTATTTTCATTTAAAAAAGATATAAACGTTTGTAACCAAATTTTCTCAATTTGTAATCAACTAATTACGCCGCCATCTTGGGAGGCCAAAACTGGCTTCTGTATACGCTATCCAGTTATATTTTGAGATCAGCGGGTTTTACTAGTTTTTGCAATTTCTATAAGTCCATATTTGGGTAGCAAAACTTTTTCCGATTTAAATTTTTTTTTAGGAAACCCTCTTTAAAATTTGATTTTATATAAGAATACACCTTTTCCAAAGCTTTCAGAAAAGAAAAAAAAATTCGCTGTACCCTATTGATCAATGTCTAGTTAAATACCTTTTGCTAGTTATTTCACCAAACACGTAAAAATTTTTCATTGTTTTTGTTTCCCATGTGTACATCCATGATCATTTTTACGTTATTTATCCATTAAAGGTCGTCCACAAATTTCTCGTCACAACATCGTAACTCTTTAGTAACAAGTTCCATTAGAGTCGTCACAAAATCATTAACCCCTCCCCCCTCCTCTTAAACGTGATGTAATTTATGGACTAAGGCTCAGTGCGATAATTATTCTTATTTTTCTTAAGTAATTAAAATTAGAGTTATAATTATTTATTAATTTTAAATAGCTGACCTTATGTACACAGTAACCATAAATTTGAAGCTAATCATAAAAAGGGATTTACGCATTTTTTTTCAAAACGATTTATAAAAGAAGTTAAAAACTTAATACAGATAAGTGTTGCTTATAAAACTTAAAATCTGAACGAGAGTTGTTCAAAGACTTGCTTTGAGAATGCAAATATTCAAGAAAAGGTTCGGATTCTCCTAGACAAATATCAATTATAAAAAAGTGATTTAAATATTTCACAAAACATTTAAAGCGCATAATTAGCCGTTGAAACAACTTCACTCCCTGCACTCTTGCGAAAGTTCACAGGCTTACTAGTGTAATGATTAAGCTGTATGTCTGAACGTACACTCGTTCTTCGTGTTTTTTTAAGGTTTATTTCGGAAGTTTCAATGGTATTGTTCTGAGTAGTATTTAAGCTAGAGTAGTAATTAACGGAAGGCATAAAACCTCCTATTGGTTGGTAGTTAATATTATTAATGTCATTTTTTACCGGAGGATTCTGTAACTTATCTGTATCGTTTGGTTTATTTGGACTTACAGATGAATTAGCAGTAACAGATGGAGACTCTGCTGGTGAATTATTTTTACGACAGCCAGAACTTAAAGAAGGAAGCGGAGGCGGAGGGGGTAGCTGATCACCAACAGCAGAATTAATTGGTAATCCATCGTTTTTCATTTCATTATTCATAAAAAAGTCCATACTTTCTTCAGGCTTACACGCAACTCCTTTAGTTTGAGCATCTAATCTAGCCTGCCTTTTCCTTTCTTTACTCCACATTTCATGACAGTCTTGCCATGCTGGAAACCTGAAAACATGAATGAAAAGTATGAAACAGAACATGAAACTGCTTAAGGCTTAGGAAAAAATTTATAAATTTTTTTTTTTTTTTTAATTGAATCACAATAAGTAGCTTAGTATTACGTTAATATCGCGCACACACAATATATATATATATCTTACTTTGGAGGAACAACTTTTTCCGGCACAGTGTTTTTAAGAAACGGATGTTTTAATGTTTCTTCAGAGGTTATTCGTTTAGAAGGATCAAGTACTAACATTTGGTCCAGAAGATCAAGAGCATCTTTTGGCAAGCTTAAAATTTAAATCGTTTTATCATTTTTTTACTTTTTAATTTACCTAATTATCAGTTAAAGAAATTATACCTAATATATTCTTCCTTTATTCTATATTTCTATTGTTTTTAAAGTTTTAAAAAATATATACCTAGCATACTCTTCTTTTATTTTACGTTTATATTGTTTTTTAAGTTTAAAAGTATTGTAAAGTGGCAAATGAATGACATCGGGCCATACAGCAGGAGTTGGTGTACCGCAAACACGACTACACAAAAGACAAATTACGAAAAAAAAAAGAAAAAGAAAAACCGTTTAACTATTTAAAAAATCATAAAGATTATAACTTAAAAAAAAAATGCTAATGATTTTATTATTAATTACCTAATAAGATCTAACTGAACAATTTCTGTATTTCCAAGAAACAAAGGCTTCCTTCTGAATAACTCACCAAGAATACATCTAAAGAATACAAAATATTTTCTTGTGAAACAAAATGAAGCCCTTTAAATCATAAGTAAAACACATATACTTCTTTCATATTCATCAAGAGTCTATTGTGTGTATTTTGATTTACACTAATAATTGAATGTAGATCTTGTTTTAAGTTTTTATTATAACTATAGCGCAACATATACTAGATAAAATTAACAAATAAAAATTAACTAATAAATAATAATAAAACTTAATAACAATGTAAAAACCATACTGAAAAAACTCTAAGTGAATGAAACAATTTGAATTAACAGTTTTATTAACTATTGAACGATATTTATGATATGATACTTGAAGAAAACGTTTGTATTTTAATAAACTTTATTCATTCCTTCATTGATGACAAAACAAATAACGTTAAACACCTGAATCTGCATAACTGATAAATCAACACAATTGCTAAATCAAAATCAAAAACTTAATTAAGATTTTTTTTTAAATGTTCAAATTATTTTATAAAACTATTTTATTTCAGTAGTTATTGAATATTGTTGTTATATCAACCAGAAAATGTCTCAAATAAACGTTTTAAAAAAAAAATTGGATAAGAAAAATTGTATTTTTCTATTGTTTTAACTCTGAAATGGCACCTTAATTTTTTTACGTGTACATCAAAACGCGTACATTATTTTTTAAACAAGACTTTTTACTAATGGTAATTTAAAAAACAGTATTAGGGCTTTCAGTTAAAACCTATTTTTTTAAAAGTTTGAACCTGAACATGTTCAAACTATTTCGAACTATATTTTAGTCATGTTAAAACACACAAAATACACAGTATGCCTTAAAGTATTTATTTGTTTATCATCATTATTTAGGATAAAAGTAAATAATATCAATGAGTAAAAAATGAGGACAAAAATAATATCAATGAGTAAAAAATGAGGACAAAAAAAAATAATATCATTAAGTACTGTTCATAGCTTACTTAAAAAATAAGTGCGTCTAAAATTTCTTCATTTAAAGAGCTTCATATTTTAGTAGCAAAAAGTCTAAGATTAGAACCAACTTTTTGAAAAACCGGTTTTCGAATTCCTTATTCCCCAGATTTTAACGGTTTTCAAATTTTTTAAATTAAAATTGAATAATGAGAAATACTTTATTTATATATTATATTTATTTCACTTATCGTAATTTTTCCTTAGGAAATAGGATTTTAAAAAGGGTTTCATAGTTTTAAGTGCATAAAATAAGAAATCAAAGTTTTTGGTTCATTTATGCGTTGCCTCTAATAATAAAAAACTCAGCTTTCAGTGTCTTTGGTTAATGTTTTCTGCAGGCTCTTTAAGAAACTTTGTAATTTAATTTTCCATGATTTTTTAAAAATTCTTTTTAAAAAGCTTTACTCTGATGTTTTTTTGATTTCCTCTTGATCTTGTTGTTCACAAAAGTAGCTTCTTCGATTTCCTCATGATCTGAATCAATGTTCACAATTGAATTTTGAAACATTGTAGACAAAATTTTTTCAGACAATTCAATAATGTTGATTTTTGAAGCTAAAAGAAATATACTAGATTTTTTTTTTGCTTGACCAGAAATGTTTTAAGCATTTTGCACATTCAGTAAAAGAGTTGCTAACCCATAATTAAATCATAAACATATTAAATTATTACATTTATAAATACATTAACAGAATGTATTTATGCATAAAAATACATTTTATAAATACCTATAAATGAAGATTAAATCCAAACTATTAGAGAAGAATTTGTTTGCCTAAAACTTTGTGTTTACATCCGTATATTTTTTGACAAAGAACTGTTTCTATTGTGTAAATAAACTAACTTAAAAAAATGTTATTGCATAAAAATATACTATAAAAATGTTAAAAAGGTTTGCTCTAATTTCCTGATGGTCAAGTTTCATTTTAGTGTCTGGTTGTTCAATAAAAAGTTAGAGTAGTTTAGCTAAATTTAATTCATTTTTTGACTTTTTATATTATCAGTTATACTATCAGTATTTACTTCCTTGTCATCATCAGAGCTGTTGTCAGATAGCTCTGATGATGACACTGATATTGTTAAATGAGATAGTAGCAAGATTAGTAAATAATCACTCAATGAGATTAGTAGCAAGATTAATAATCTTTTTTTTTTTCTTGTTGCCAAATTGTTTATTATCAAATCTTTATTTAAGACATTCAGATTTGACGATTACTTCATGAGATGAATTAAATGAAAGTTTCTTCTTTCAATTATTCTATATTCAAATATGTTTGACAAGTTGACATATAGGTGTGTTAGCTTCATGAAGGTTTTTTCTTGTAAACTTAATCACAGTTTCAGTATAGAAAAGATCAGCATCTCCTTTTGAAAAAGTATTAATGACCAATTTTAGTGGTTTGAAAGCAACACAAAGTTCATTTATGACATCAAGCTCATTTTTAGTTAGAGGAATATATAAAATATACCAATCAGAGCTATTTTTACTTCTGTTTACACCTCCAAAAAATGTTCAAGCATATCAATAGTACAGCTCCTTGAATTAAAAACCAAAGCTTTTCCTTTTCCAAACTTTTTAATTATATTTGGTTCAATTCATCAAATCTACAGCTATTATCACCATCAACAGGGTTATTATCAGAACCATGTGCATCATCTTTGTTTTTTGTAAAAAGCACATCAATCACACATAAATGAATGTCAGGGTTGTAACACATTTGATGTTCACGTTTAGTGTAATTACCAATATATCTTATAAACTGGCAAAAGTTCAAACGTTTGAACCTGAACATGATTGAACTGGAAGCCCTACACAGTATAAGTAAGAAAAATTTTAAGAATGCCCAAAAACTCATTTTTTATGACTGCTTTTCACATTTGTTTTAAAACGCATAACTTTAAAAACCTATGTATAAGAAATAGTGGTTTACAGAAAATTTATGTTTAACTTGTAAACAGAAAATACATGTTTTGTAAATAGATAATACCTTATAACACAGGTTTTGTTGATAAGTTCCACAGTTAAATCAAGAATATTAAAATCAAGGTTTGAAAGTGTATGACCAAAGTTTGACAGGTGTATATTTTAAAGGATTATCAACGCTAAAACACCCTATCTCAGTGTATAATAGTGGTGCTACTTAATACATTAAAAGATCTGCTATATTATCAAAGTGTTAGGCATTAAAACGACTTGTAATAATACTACAAGGGAAGTGGCAGAGATCGCACTTGGAACTTGTTGTAATTTATAATTTGTATGATATAGTTTGCATTTATATTTATTTTTATTTGTAATACTTTATAAATTAGTTTCATATCAGAAATTTTAATTTTATAAGCAAATACTGTTTTAATAGTGTCTGTAGAAATCATAGTTTTTTTATTAAGTTAAGTCAGAGAGCTTAAAAAAGTTCACAATTTTAAAAACCATAACTAATACATCAGAACATTAGTAAACAATTCAAAAAAATCAAATTAAAATAAGATATATGACAAATATAATATAGGTATTTTGCCAGTAAAGATGACTGTTTTAATGGTTTAATACACTCATTGAAAAGCGCTTTAAACATTTTAAAACAAATTAATAAACTAACCCACAACTCCAAACATCAATGGCAGGCCCATATCTTTCTTCACCTAATAGCAGTTCTGGAGGGCGATACCACAGTGTAATAACTCTATTTGTGTATTGTCGCCTAGTGAAAAAATAATACTTTGACTATGAAATATGTAAATATCTTATAACCATAAAGTTTATAATAAATATTAACTGAACTTTTCTTAAGTTTTTTTTTTTAAATATTTATAAAATATTTTTTTTTATATATATATAAAATTATATAAATATATATATATATATAAGTATATATATATAAAATTATATAAATATATATATAAATATATATATATATAAAATTATATAAAATATATAAAAATTTTATATATATATATAAAATAAGATTTTTTTTTAAACATTCATAAAATAAACAATACTTTTTATAAATTGATAACTTGTTTTTAAAGCTATACAAAACAGTATATTTAAAAAGCAATTTTAAAAATATTAAAATCCAAGCAATAAAAAACAAGGATAAAAAAATAGAAATTTACCCCTCATTTTCAGATTCAAACAATCTTGCTAATCCAAAGTCCGCCAACTTTATTTCACCTCTAAAATATTTAAACACAAACTAAAAACACAAATAAAATTTAAAAAATCAATATTGTTTTCTTGAGAAATAACTTTAATCTACTTCTAAATTTTGCTACATTTTTGTGGTCTGATGTGTTTACATTTGACATCAATAAAAATAAGTACCTAAGGGCAAATCAACTCAAATTTACTAGTTTGCAAAAGAACTAAGACTCTAACATGTTTTGAATATTATCTGTATAATACAGATTTTGATCCGGATAATAGAAACACAGGATAAAAATATTTACTATGTGCCAAAAATAAAAATAAAAAAAATAAAAAGAAATGAGGTATATAAAAGTTCATTACTACTTTTGTCTAAATCAAAATCATTTGTAAATAAACAAACTTCAAAGACAAGCATTTCTTGTTGATTGTGGTTCAAACTAAATGCATTAATTTTAAAATTAATGCGTTTAGTTTGGCTTCACCTAACCTAACATAAATAATTAAATGTAATATTTGCCCAACCAGGTTATTTTGTATCAACATGGTCGTAAAATATTGTTTCATAAAAAATTTTACTCAGAAAAAAATTACCCATCTAAAAAATAATATTTTTAAGGTTGCTATTTGGCTTTGGCCCATTGCAATACATGATCGCTTAGTATTACTGTAGAAGTTGAATTTTATGTGTTGAATTTTATGTTTTGAATTTTGCCGTTTAAATTTGTTAAAAACATGTTTGTTTAAACATGGTAAAAAATGTTTTTTTAAAAAAAATACTTAAAGCACTTCAATTAACTTGTTAAAAAGAAAAAAAAATTGCTGTGAAAAAGTTAAACTGAATTTTGAAAATATTTTTTTGGTAAAATATAATATTTTTTCAAAACTATGAAAAGTTTTAGTTTATAAATAAAAAGATTTATTGTAAAAGTACATTCAACAGTATAAATCTATTAGATCTTTATGCTGTGCTCTCCTACGCAAAAAAAAAAAAGGAGAGTGTTGACATGTATATTATTTCACAAAATAAATAATACTCATAAAAATTAAAAGATTAGTAAGACTTGAAAATTCTTACTTTTATTTTCTTTATTTTAAAAACAAAACCAATATAAATAATATACTAACAATATATAAGCAAAATATATAAATTTAAAAATTATCCAGACATACAGCAAAAACAAGTTTCTCTAATAAAAACTGAAAACTAAAGATAACATCTTATTATTTGGATTTGGTGAAAAATAATACATTTATTTTGCTGATTACTGGAAAAAGTAAAATACTGTATCTATTTTTTAAATTATAGTAGTTTTTATGAAAAGCTTATATAAAATAAAAGTTTATTTACATTTTTTATTTTTACATTTATTTTTTTACAGCTATTTATTATTATTTTTTATTTAGGCCTTAAATTATTAATGCAATATACTGTTATATCAAAAATTTAAAATTAAGCTTTTTAAACTGCATTGTAATTTATAATTTAATAATCAGTGCATAGAATAATGAATGACAAACAATTCACTTTATAAAAGACAAAAAACTGAAAATAAATAAAAAAATTAACAAAATAACTATAATGTTCCATGATGTAGAAACTCCTAAAAAACTAACCTAAGAATGACCTAAATCTAATAACAAAAATAAAAAAAAAAAAAAAAGGATGTTAAAAGTTCAAACACATTATCGCAATTTTTTCAAATTTCTAAACAAAGCCATATACGCTGTGGACCAGAAGGCATATTAGGTTTGATGGTGTGTCACCTGGGATTTTTTTACTGATTAAGTTTTGTTTTCATTATACTAACATGATTTAATCATATTTAAAATTAGTTTCACTTGCTAAGAGTGAAAAAATCATAAAACTCTGAACTCCCTCCCCCAACAGAAAAAATGAGGGGGTTAATAATTTTACATGGCCTTAACTCTTGAATGCCTAAGTATTTTTTGATGAAATTTGAAATCTATTGATTAATTTTGATTTAGTTTATGTCAATAAAAGTTTTTCTTGAAAACCTATTTAACACAAGTGGGGATGGGGTGTTAAAAATTGTGGGTTATATTGTCCCTTTGCTCCAATCCCACAACTTTTTCTAAGGCAGCTTTATTTTACAATATAATAAAATTGAAATTCTTCAAAATTCTTCTACATAAAATTCGGAACTCAGTTTAACTTTACTTACCCATTTGCACATTTTATTTGAAAATTGATTTGACAATTTTGTTGTCTTAGCAAGTGAAACTAATTTTAACTATGATTAAATCATGTTAGTATAATGAAAACAAAACTTAATCAGTAAAAAAATCCCAGGTGACACACCATCAAACCTAATATGCCTTCTGATCCACAGTGTGTATTAAAATCAACAAAAAAAAAGAAGGTAAAAAAAAATTTACATGCGCAAGGTTTAATTAAAAAAGTATAAATATTTTGTGCAGCTTTAAAAATGAAAAAAAGTTGCTCTATAACAAATATATAAAATCTTTTGTTTTATGATACACAATATTTACTAAAAACAATTAAACAAAAAATGAATTACATTTAAAAGCTTTTAAAATTAAAATATGACATAATTAAAAATAAATTCTTTTTATATTATAAAATTTTCAAACATCAAAAAACAGTTTTTAGTTTAATTTGCCCATTACTATTTTTTGCCTAACAAATAAATATTAAAGTTGATATAAAGGTTTTTACCTGTTACTCATAAGAATGTTTGAGCATTTAATATCACGATGGAGAAAATGTTTTCCATGACAGTAATTAAGCCCTTCCATCAACTGCTTCATCATAGAGCTGATATGTTCCGTAGTAAATTGAACAAAGCCCGATTCTAAAATTCCCATCAAGTCATGATCACAATATTCGAAAACCAAATAAAAATCGCCTGAAAAATAAATATAATAATGGTAATAATAATACTAACTAATATTAATAAAAAAAAAAAAAAAAAAAATATTTATCATTAGCACTATAAACAATCATAAATAATCTTATGTATAAGTAGTCCAATAATGTATTTTATTAATTTATAATTAACAATATAAATAAAAGATATCTATTATCATTTTATATTTTAACATAAAGGAGAGTAAAATCTAAAGTGTTGATTACTCTAATCACATAAAATTTCTTATAGAGAATCGAGAATTAATTTTTATAGAGAATTGTTATTAATATTTTTCCAATTTTAAAAATTTTAGTAATAAAAAAATTAAGATAATACTTTTTAAAGGATGCAAATTGCTTAACCAATAAATATATATTTATTTTATATGATTAAATGTTATACTATTTGATGATTTTAAATTAATTCATTAAATAATAATTACCTTGAAGAATAATTTAAAACTTTTGTTTAAAAGACACATCATGTAGACGATAAACAAGAATAATAATGATAATAAACTTTATTGTCTGATGACAATGAAACAATTACATTATCATTAACTATGTAATTTAGAAAATCATTTTAAAAAATTTATTTGTATGGTTTCATTAATACTACAAAGAAATTATATTAAAATGATCATTACAAGAGAATATATTCAGTTAATCAAAATATATTGATAGATGTCGCATAACCAGTACTCTCTAACCAGTATCAGGATGCCTAGAACGCAATATGCATAAAAATAAATATCTTAAATATTATTGAAAATTGAATAAATTAAAAATTACTATAATTTCAGTATATAGTTCAATTTCATTTTTTAATTATTCTTGATAATTACTGAACTATAATTTAATGTAAGTTAAAAGAAAAAGAGTTTTAGACTCATCTGTGGCATCAATACAAAAGTCATAAATAGAAAGTTTCATTCTTTGGCCTGAGTATTTCTAAAGTTTAAGCTTATGCTTATGTGGAATAACACTGACAAAGAATTTTTCTTTGTATTTATGCCAGAATGAGCGTATACAAATTTATTTATTAGGTTCTAAACAAACTGCTAATTAAATACTTAATATGCTAATTCCAAACACTGGTTCAGATACATTGTAGTTTGAAGGACAAATTTAGTAGAAAGAAGTAAGTTCATTAAACTTTAAAAAAACTATGCATAAACATTAATGGTCAGAAATTTGGATCCTGAATTAGAAAAAATTTAAAAAATTATTAAAAATAAGATTGCATGTACAACACTTAATGTTTTTATAAATCATAAAATAAAATTAATATAAAATCTTTTTTGTGTTACTATTAAAGTAGTTTATTAAAAAAGTTTTTGCATGCTGGCAAGCACAAAGAAAGCTTGAGCGCTGACCACACAGAGAAGACTGCATTTATATGAAAGAATATAATTATAAACCAAATTTACTGAATAAATTTGGTTTATACAGGCTTGGCCAGGAAGGCGTGCGATTTCATGCTTTTGAAAACTTGACCACGGTTGTTAAGATGTTTTGAAAATTTGTATACATTTTAAAAATTCACTATATATATATATATATATATATATATATATATATATATATATATATATATATATATATATATATATATATATATATATATATATATATATATATATAAATATATACATATATTATCAGGCCTTGTTTTAAAGAGTTAGACTGCCAGCAATTTACACACACACATTAGCAATTTTACACACACCTAGAATTCCAAGTCACTAAAAGTGACATTTTATCATTTTTTAACATTTAAATTATTCTATAAGCAGTAAGAAAAAAGTAATTAATTAATTAAAGAATCACATTAATTTTTGAATAACGATTATGTAAAACAGTTTGTTACAAAAGTTTGAATGACAATTATATTAGATATAAACGCTACTTACTAATGAAAAAAATCACATAAAATTTAAAACAACGAAAACCTAATCTCTATTAAGCTAATTATTTTATCAAAATATGTAGTAACAGAAAACAAAACTGCTTATAATTAACAATATATTTTTTTGTATATACGAAGTTATTAAACAAAACTATAAATATATATATACATATTTATATAATTTAAAAATTTTATTATCTCGCGAGCACAAAAATATTTACACATATTTCTATATTTATACATATTTATATTTTTTTGATTGCAATAAAAAAAATTTACTTAAATTTCTATATAATAAAAAATAAAACTAAGCTATGTAGTAGCGATTATTACTTTCACAACATAATCGCTAAAAAATAAACTTTAAAGGGATCCCCAAGTGCCGAGACAAGTTGTGTTCATATCATAGATAAACATTAGAAAATAAGTTTAAAACTAATTAAACTTTCAAAAACAAATTATTGAATGAAATATTAACAAAAGCATTTGTTGTTTTGCCATTATACTTCCGGTTATAAGGTTAATACTAACCTTACAAATCTGCATATTTTTTTCCGTTAAAAAAACATTCAATAATGTTTTCGCTTACCGCAGAGTTTTTTAAACTCAGTTCAGTTTTACACAATCAGATTGGGATTTCCCCTTTATATTTAGTCTGCGGTGGTTATAAAAAAACATTCATTGTAGCATGTTTTTGTTTTTTGTTTAACATATTGTTAAGTGTTAGAGTTAAATAAACTAGCATAATAAAAATAGTAATTTAGGTAAAGCGAACTTTAAAATCGCAAGATGAACATTTTTCTTTGAAAATAAGTAATTAACTTTTTTATATACACCACTAAGTACAATATAATCCAACATTAAATTTTCAAAGTTAAAAAATCTTAATTTTTTTTTAATAAATTGAGGAAACTGTTTTAGATATGATCTTATATATATTTTTAACTTGGCTTATAATAATTTATATTTCTAATTCAGGATATTGTTTTAAAAATGATCTAATATATATTTCTCAGATATACACTAGTGATCAAAAGTTTAGACTCAGAAAAAAAATCTCTTAAGCTTAGCTCTGAAAATGCTAAAAAAAATTTATTAAGATAATGCTTGAAATTTTTTTTTTTAATTCAACTTATTTAGTTTGTTTCTAACATAATTACAAAAAACACACACCTTTTATTTTATATATTGGTCTTTTTTTTTATTTTATAATAATAGCGCTATTTAAAAACAAATAAAATGTGTCTCATAAATTTAGACTCACTTTTTCTATCTTTATTTCCATATAAGTGCTTAACCTTTTTTTTTAAAGATTGTAATTCTAACATGGATCAAAATATATTTTCTAAAATATTATGTTTAAATCCATTTAAAAATTAAATTATTTACTAACTTAGTGCACGCTAATCAAAATATACAATTTTTACTCATTATTTGCATTTAAAATATTTAGAAAATGGGTAAAACATCAGTATCAAAAGAAATCAAAGAAAGAATTATCACCTTGCACCTTGCTGGTAATTCTACAAGAAAAGTTCAGTTGATTCTCAAGAACGTATCACAGTCATGTGTCACTAAAACAATAGCTAAGTGGAAAAAAACAGGTAGCACATTAGATAAAATCAGATCCGGAAGACCCAGAAAAACAACTACCACTGATGATAATAGTATATACAGAATTGCCAGAAAAAATCCTAAGTATAGTGCCAAACAAATTGCTCAAGAAATAAATCTAGCTCTTAAAAATGACATCTCAAGGCAGACAGTAAATAGAAGATTAATTGATCGTAAACTATGCTCGTATACTGCTGCTAGAAAACCAATGCTTAAAAGATCAGATCGACTCAAACGGCTACAATTTTGCAAGAAAATTCTTAAGATGAGTGATAGTGATATAAAAAAAATTGTATTCAGCGACGAATCGAATTATGCAGTCGTTAATCGAAAAAAAAGAGTAACTGTTCGAAGACACCATAATGAGAAGTTTCATAATCGTTTCATTGTACCTCGATTACAGGGCGGAGGAGGTTCAGTTGGGATCTGGGGTTGTATCACGTATGATGGACCCGGACTATGCTACTTGTACACTGGTAGAATGGATCAATACAGATACATTGAGACGCTTGAAAATAATTTGATTCCAACAAGAGACTTATTTTTTGGAGATGAGCCAGAATGGAAATTTCAGCAAGATAATGCCCCTTGTCACAAAGCAAAAACAGTAACAGCTTGGTTTAAAGAAAATAAAATCAATTTACTCCAGTGGCCAGCTAGATCGCCAGATTTAAATCCAATGGAAAATGTATGGTCTGTGCTTGATCGAAAACTGACCAAAGCTCCTGTAACTTCAGCTGAAGAACTACGAAAAAATTTAAAAGAGTTGTTTGATGGCTTGTCCTTTGAATATTGTCGAAATCTTTTTGAATCTATTAAAAGAAGATGTAGACTTTGCATAGCTAACAAAGGCGGTCACATACCTTATTAACTTGACTTACAGTTTAAAGTGAAAAGTCCTGAGTCTAAACTTATGAACAAGATTTTTATAGATATCTTTTTACATGATTTTGCTATTTTCAAAATAAAATACTTTAAACTTGTTTTTCTTTTCAAGTCTTTTATATATATTAAAGAGAATTTCATAAATAATAAACTGGATTAAAAATAAAATTAAAAACAAAACAAAAAAGGCATTTTTTTAAATCACAAATCACTAAGAAACTATAAGTTTTATTATGAGTCTAAACTTTTGATCACTAGTGTATATAAAGTTTATATTAAAAATTTGAAAATTTCATTTAACCGCTAAAGGGGAAATCCGTGGAAATCAAGATTTTTGAAAGAAACTTTTTGTATTGATAGCGAATATATGCGCATTGATCAGACCTGATTTAAAAATTAAAAATAGTCAAAGAGCTGGAACTTTCCTTCGCCAGAAACAAAATGGCTTTAAAAATTAAAAAGTTTTTTGTTAATATCTATATATATATATATATATATATATATATATATATATATATATATATGCACAAATAGTATTGCGTACTAAGGTAAGGCAATCTGAGGTCATACTGAAATACCCTGCTGCTGGGGGCTTCAGTACATACATCGACTGACAAATAAAAGCATAGGAAAAATATAACATTTTTAAAATTATGTTTGCCGTAATTATCTTTTCCTTAATTATCTTTAATTTAAAAGGCACTTTAAAATCACTTTAAAATTATTAACCTTTAATAAAAGTTAAATGAACAGATTTGCTAATACTTAAATCAAAGTTTTAAAATTAAAATAATAGTAAATGCGTTATTTTAATACAAGACATGAACTATTTTGTTAATTTTACAAATGTTACACGATTTAATATATGTAAATTTATTATGTAATGTAAATATTGATTAAAAATTGTTCAAAGTATTTAAACATCTAATTACTAACTAAAATATTAATTACTACTAATATTAAATTTATTAAAATATAGTTGATGTTTAAAATGCTTCAAACAATTTTTAATGTGTAACTACATCTGCAGATGTTATTACACTTTAGTAATTTAAAAAATGTAACTAAATCTGTAATATTTAATTTTTGCACAGATGTAATTAGACACTAATGAAATTCAGATGTTGTTGGACTAATGTTATTAGACATGGCAATAACTGATGTTGTTACCCTGACTTGAAAAAAGTGGTATTCCCAAATAAACTCTGGGTTCTTCACTCTATATGTATGTATGTATGTCAGGCTTGGACAGGAATGGCATGCGATCGCACTCTTTAACTGACCACGCTAAGATTTTTATTTCTTTACAACTTGACCACGGCTATTTTGATGTTTTAACAATTTGAATGCAATAAAAAAAGTGTTACGCTATAAATATCTTTTAATCGTTGATCTTTTCTTAAGTTATTTTATGCAAAGGCTTTAAATAAAACCATAAAATTAGTTATAGTTTACATAAACACTTGTGTAAATTAATAAAAAACGTTATAAATAAGTTTTTTTATGCAGGCATTTATTTTTTATGATAAATGTAAACATTTGAAACTACTTTCTTATGTCTTCCTAAAACATTTTTAAACCATTATTTTTAGAAAGAATTTTTTTAAGTTACTTTAGTTTGTAAGTAAGTTCAAAAGCTTTTGTGACTACTAACCTTTACACATTTTATGTGAATTACACAAGAATATAAAATAACTTTATTTACTTATATAAGCATTTATTTTGTTGATTTAATGAAAAAAGTTTTAAAGTGTTTTGTAATGTTCATACGATTAATTTTTATGACTAAACTTTTTTTAAATGTTTTAAATAAACATTTTTTTTTTTGTCAACAATTTTTTTTTTTGTCAATTTTGTTAGAAATGAATGAGATTAAATCTTTTATAATAATTTTTAAAATCGTTAAGGGGGGCGTTCATTAAGTTGCTCAAATTAAAATTAAATTAAAAAGCTTGTTGGCAGTTTATTTTATTTAAATCGCAGGCGGATTTTATTTATTTATTTTCTATTTTTAAGAATAAAAAAGTTCGAAACATTTTTTTAAATTAGACTCACTAATTAGAGCATGAAATTAGTAAAAAATACTATTTTAAAAAGACTACGTTATTTTTTTAAACAATTTTTTTTTTTGCAACTTGACAAAATTAATGTTTATACAATTTAAAAATATTATATAAACTTTTTAATAAATTTAATAAAATTTGTTCTTTTATTAAACCAATCATTAGTAGTAATTTGTAATTTATTTAAATTTGCTTTGCTTAACTTTAATAACTCTTAAAAAGAAAATTTTCTTTAACAACGTTTATTTCAGACGTAATTAAAAACGTAACAATTAAGTTTTGCTTCGAGTTTAAGTTTTTATCTCATTTTAGTGCTTATATAATTTCTTTTTCGTTATGAATTTGTTTTGCATTTCTTTTTTCGTTAGTTTTTTTTTTTAATTTTTTTCCTAGTTTAAGTTTAGCTTAGCATTTCTACATTTCAGAATAAAAAATTTCAGAACATTTCTGAAATTTTTAAGTCATCAAAACATATAAACATTGTTTATTAAACAATCGTGGTCAAGTTGTCAAAAAATAAACTCATTTGCAGGCCTTGCGATAAAGCGTCGGGCGATGTGAATTTTACGTCGTCCAAGAGCGATTTTGCGTGTAGCTAGGGCTATTTGCATCAAGCAAAAAAATTTTTGTTTGAGTATATTTAAAGATATTTTTGAGCGGAATTTTAATGAAGTAATTCACGATTATTTTAACATTTATTAAAGTATTTTAAAAACCGCACCCAGTTGATATAAAAGTTTGAATTACAAAAAAATTAAATATGCTCATTATTTACAAGTAGAAAAAATTCAGATTAAAAAAAAAGTTTAAATTTTTTTTAAGCTAACATTTTAATAAAATTATTCAGCAATAGCAAAGTTGTCGATAAAATTAAACAAAAATACTTTCTTTTAGTTTTAGAGTTTTAACTTAAATAATTATTTTACGGGGGTTTGTTAGGTTTTAAAATTATTCCATAGATTTAAAAATATTTATTATTGCTAGACGTATTTACTCTTAAAGTATTTAAGAGTAATTTCGAGGAAATGTTTTAAAAATTGGTAAGCGCAAATAAAAAAAAATAAAAGGATTAATATTGAAACATATTCTAATTGATTCAATAAAAAAGTACAGCTATTAAAATTTTTGTAAAAAGTAACTCGAAAAAAATTACTTAAATAATAACAATCGCTTTTTTGTTAAAAGTTACTGAAACTCAACGAAGCGTGCTCAAGAACAGCTGCCGAAAAATAGAACGTCAATAGTTTTTCGAATAATTTTTAAGAATAATTTTTTCACTGAAATATGTCTTTTATACCTATAAGATTTTTATTCTAACATTTTATTTTATTTTACCAAAAATAAAATTCTGTGTAAACATTAAAAATCTATTCAAAAACGTTTGTTAAAGTTTTTAGTAATACACTTGATTGTGCTTATCAACCGCTTTATAAAAATAAATAAAAATAAATAAAAAAATATAATATAAAATCGCTAGTAAAAATATTAGCTATTGCACAGTTTTTAATCGTACAATATTAAAATTTCCAGAATATTAATCGCTGACTTTTTAAAAAGAAAAAATAATTATTTGAAAAACTTTAAATTACATATTTGAGAAAATTAAATATTAGCATATTTTATAATCTTTTTTAAATGTTTAGTTATAATGTTTTTTATTCGTTTAGTAGACAAAACGCATCAAACGTCGAGAAAATAAACCAATATTTTTATATTTTAAAAAACGAAACATTCCGAAACATTTTTAAATAATAACATTTCTACATTAATGATTTAAAGTATTTTTTGCGGTAATTAAGTAAATTGGTGCATTTAATGTTGATAAATATGAAAAGCAAATAAAAAGAATTTAATGACGTCAAAAATCACATCGTGCTTATGCGTCGCGCAGTTTTTATTCATCACAAGGCCTGATTTGCATGGTCAGCAATAGCGCTCGATCGCACGCCATTCCTGTCCAAGCCTGTATGTATGTATGTATGTATGTATGTATGTATGTATGTATGTATGTATGTATGTATGTATGTATGTATGTATGTGTATGTATATACTATTTAATATATATATATATATATATACAAATAGTATTGCGTACAAAGGTAAACAATTAATTTTCTTCCCCTCTATTTAGAAGAAATAGCTTTGCGCTAGAAGCCCTAATTTTGAAATGTACCTTAAAAAAGTGTTTCAGTTGGGGTGAAGTGGGACAGAAAAAAGAAATATTTATGCCCGCTTCTTCCTGACGCTATTTTAATTGGTGAAAGCTCTTGAACATTTTTATGTCGATTAGGTGATTTTATGACTTTACCAGTTTTTATTTAATAATTAGTGTAAAAATATTGTTTTAAATTTATTTGTCCCAACTTCTGCTCACACTTGTCTCACTTTATCCCAATGACATGGTTTCTCTAAAAGCAAAAATTTATACACTCAACTATAATTGGCTGGAAACTTAAGGGGATTAAATTGGTGCCTAAAAAGAAGGTTTATGCTTAAAAACTTATTTGGTTCAGTTTATACATCAAATAAAAAGATATTGCAATTACTTTTTAAAAAATTTACGTGTCCCACCACTTCTTCCCACTCTTCCCTATTATTTTTGAAAAAAGGTTTAATTTTTGGATCTAACATAGCAATAATTGGTTACTTTACGTGCTGTAAAAATGTTTTATTGAGAAATAATATCTAATGACGAAATAAAAACCTAATAGGCATGGTAAAAAATGTTTTAGTGACATAAAAAAAGATAAAATAAAAAAATAGAGAAAGTTTTGATTGTTGTTTATTGCAATGATACCCCAAGACATGGCTTTTACAATACAATAATTTTATATGGAAACTATAAAAAAAGTAAAACAGAAAGTTTAACTACATGTAAAACTAAATTACAAATAAAATGTAATCTATATGATTATAATTTATCTGTAATTAATTTGGGTACATTAACAATAAATACATTGCACCTACAATAAACAATAAGATTTTTTTACACTAAAATACTATTTAAAAAAATGAGTTAACTTTTTTAACTGAGTGATTCAATTTTTAAATTTTTGTTTAAAAAACCAACCAATAGTACAATAAGAAAAAGATGCAACAGCATATACACAAAAATTGATATTTTAACACTAAAGGTAGAACAAGATTTTGAAGATATAACAATATCTATAGCATAAGTTGTATTATTTTATAATATCAAAAGTTGTTGTTATTTTCTCCTTATAACTGTAAAATTAATTTCTAAATCTAACAAAAAATTAACAACCTGATCAGTTTGAGGTTGTTGATCTCATTGAAATTATTCTATTTAAAAATTTTTTTTTTTGACACACAATTTCAAATCCTTAATTAATAGGTTGTGTAAATAGTGAGTAGTAACTATTTACGATTTTTCAAATAATTAGACAAGTACTTTTAAAAATTTACCTTTATCTTTTCTGAAGTCTAATGCACTTTGTTTATCTGTAACAATTTCTTTTAGATTAACAATACTTGGGTGAGAAAGTTGTCGCAGAATTTTTATTTCTCTCACAGCAGTTATAGGGAAACCTTCTTTTTCTTTGTCCAGACGAACCTTTTTCAAGGCTACCATCTCCCCTAATAAAGGAATAGAAATCAATTAGGAAATAGCAAAGTACTAAAATTTAAACTTAAAAAAAACTTTTAAGAAAAAATTAAATTATATGAATGAAAAAAGTGAAACAAACTTCGTGTACTTTTCTGTTTTCAAATTTACTTATTATAGAAAAGAGCCTGAAATTTGTTTCATTTTGCAACCATTTTATAATATTCACAACTATCCAATAATTTAAATAAATCCAATAATTTTATCAAGTATAATTATCAAGTATAATAACACAGGAAAGAATAATGAAAGTGAAGTATGGAAATTAGCAATCAATTAAAGACCTTATGTGTAACAACTATATTAATATCAGCTATAAACAAAACTTCATTTAATTCCAATAATAAAGAAATAATTCCACAATATAACATAGTAACTTTATTGCTAAATCTGGTATGAAATCTTGAAATATGCATTTCCAAATAAAAACATCCAATGAATATAAAATAAAATTTCATTGAGTAACAGTATATTTCCAGGGGCTAACAGGTTAAGATGAACTGGTTCTTCCGAAATTCTTTAAAGCTAATATCAACTCAGACATAAAAACAGAAAAATTTGTCAAACAAAAAAAAATATTTACCATGTTCAAGAAATCAGTTGTTTTATCCAAACTTTGAATTGTTTTTATCCAAACACCCGCAAGAGATTTGTTCCTACAGGAAAGTAAATTAAAAAACAAACAATTAAAACTTTTTTTAGATGATGCTGTTGTCGAAATAGTTTAGCTTGTATGCTACTTTTGACAAACAAGAATAACTAAAATTTTAACAGAAAAATGTCTCATTGAATTAGCTTTTTAAGAATTTTGGCAGACTCAGTTTATGTCTGGTTGATAGGTACCTGTTAATTTGTCTTTAGCTTTAAACACTTGACCATAAGTTCCTTCACCAACAATTGTAATAATTTCAAACATATCTACACACCTTTCTCCCCATTCAGAATCTTTTCCAAACAAATGCATTGAATTAGGAGTAGAATAATTAGAAGTGGTATCTATAGATAAAGAGCTTTGTGAATCAGTTACATTTTGAGAATTTTCAACTTCATCTTGTAACTCTGGTGATGAAACTATCATGTCTATATCAGGTATATTAGGAGGTAAAGGAAGTGGTGGAAGCGGAGGCACATTAAGATTTTTACCATCTTCTGGTAAAGGTGGAGGTGGTGCAGATGAAGGCGGCGGAGGTACTGAAGGAGGAGACTGTAGTGGAGGAGGAGGTGGACACCCTAATACATTTAGAGGCACTGCTGGCGGAGCTGGAGGTGGAGAATCTCTTTTATTTATTTGAGTTTGACTCATAAAAAATTGACTCATACTCATTTGCGTAGTAGGAGGAACTATATTTGTTTGTGGTAAATATATACTATTATTCGTTGGTAAATAAGAATTACTAACAATGTTTGAAGATTTAGCATTATCTGTTCTAATTCTTTTTCTTTGCATTGGTAACTTTGGTGATGATTGTAAATCAGGTTTAGCTTTTTTAAAATTTGAAGAACTAAGTTTTTGACTTGAACGTGAACTAGTAGGTGAAATTGATCTTTTTCTATAATTTTGTGGAGACCGTCTATTGTAAGGCGATTTATATCCATATGTCCCATATGGAGAATAACGAGGAGATCTAGGAGAAACACTTCTATAGCTAATCGAGTCGGAGTTATAAGGAGATGCAGTTCGTCTATCATATGGAGAAAACGATTTATCATGTGATTTTCTGCTATATCTAGATTGAGATGTTCGATGCCTCGGACTTCGTCTATTATATGCTGCATCATTCCTTAATTTTTCAGGATATCCACCAAATTCTACGGGGGAAGTGTTTGATCTACGTCTTTCATAATATCTTGTTTCAGAAAATCCACTATATTTTAATGGCATTTCAACAGGAACCTCGACTCTAGAACTAATTTTTTTATGTTTTCTATCACTTTTATGTTTCTTTTTCTTTTTAATGTAAACATCTGATAAGTCTTTGTCGTATGAGTTTCGCTTTTCTTTAAAGTCATTATATTCCCCATCGTCAGAGGAAAGGCTTTCGTAACGATCTTTTAAGGAAGCTAAACTGCCCACATTTATCGGTGGTAAAAATCCACTTGTTATTATAGATTTCGATTTACTTTTAGATTTTTTTTCTTTCTTAAGTTTCTTCGATTTTTTATTTTTGTGTTTTTTGGTTAAAGATTCTGAATTAGATGGCGAACTGACCATGATTTACAAAAATTCAGATAAAATGAGAAATCATTTGCGGTTTCGTAAAAAATTGAAAGATATATCATCAGTGATTGCAGGGATAAAAACCGATTTTTTATTACGAATTATTACTACACTAACTTCGCTTTTATCTGAACTTTTTGCTCTGCTCTCTTGATAAAGTTTGTGGTAATGATAATACGCATGCGCAAAAAGGAGTGAAATTAATATCCGCCAAAGACGAACCGGACTACATTTATTAACAAAATAAAGTGTAAACTAAATTAAATAATTCATTCCATTGTTATCTTTAAATAGACTAAGGAAAATTAGGTAAAATAATTTATTTTTAGATTAAAATAGTTATTAAAGAATGAATAATTACAAAAATGATTAATAAATAATAAGCTTTGCCCCCGCTAAATTACTGTATTTCATCTTGAATATATGAAGTTATAAAACGCTTGAACTAACCTGCGTGTAACAACAAAATTCGTGTATCATATAGGTAAAGCGCACATTTTAAAATGTCAATCGAGATATTGTATAAGTTATTTAATTTATAAGTCACAATTTGGATGTGTGATTCGGTGAAAATTGCTTACGATACTTAAAAAAAATTTAAGATAGCATTGTCTCCATAAGTGTTACATTTAATATTCCCATGCAAATAATTTTATGATTTTTTTTTTTTTAATTTAATTAAAAAATGCATAACTGCAAAAATCTGTTTTATTTCTCTTTGAGGTAAAGTTATATCGAGGATATAATTTTATCTCAAAGATAAGTATCTTTGAGGTAATATTATTTAATGGCAAAGAGGATACTTTTCAATAACTCTTTGTTAACTTTTAACTGTGACTACGAAACTTGTGATATTCTTTTTAATAAACAAAGATTTTTTTTTCCCTATTTTTATATTATGCCCATATTGTATTTGTAATAAAATGAGAACTCTTTGTAGACAACGTTCTTTTAACGTTGGTAACTTCATTACATTCAATCTGTTTTTTAAAGCTGGTAATAGTTTTTAGAGTACTTTTTTATTTATTTTTTTAGCTTCAAAACACCCTGCTTCAAATGTGGTTTTACAAAGGTCATAACTTTTTCTGACCATATCTGAATCAAAATAGTTTTTTTCTTTATTTTCAGTAAATATCTGAATCAAAATTATGTCCTTTTAAAATGAGCTAGCATTTGATTCTATTAATTTACAATCCTAGTAATTTGACAAGGACATTTAAAATCTGATTGTATTATAACTCTAAATTGTGTTCTACTTTTAATGTTGTTAAGATATGATGTTTTTAGCTTTTAGCATTAAATACATTTTACATTGACTTTTAAACCAATGCAATTTAAAGAAGTGGATTTTTAAACTAATATTTACTCGTTAAACTACTGCTAAAGCAACATTCTTATGATCAAACAACCCATGCAGACATTAGTCTGTAAAATATATTTTAAATATAATATAAGTTATGTCTTAAAATAATTTAACATAAGTGAAAGAGGCAGTATAATTATCAAGAGAGATCCAGTAATTGACTACTTTTGCTGAGAAGAAATGTTGTCTGGCTTCAGTTTCAAATCTATGCTTAACTAGTGTAAGTGAATGACCTCTAATTATTTAGTTTGACTAAATGATAACTTTTTTAGATGATATTGAAAACAACTCCTAACTGTTGTACTTTTCTATTAGATCAGGTCTGTTCCTTTGCCCCTTCAAGTGTTCATAGACATTTTTAATATGTTATCAGAATAGGATAGGTGTTATTTATTAATTTACTGAACTGATATTTTTCAGTTAGCTCCTTATCTTTGAAATAAATAGATGGTAAAACTGATTTCAATATTCCGTGTGAATGATGAACTTATCATTATATATATATATATATATATATATATATATATATATATATATATATATATATATATATATATATATATATATATATATATATATATATATCTGTATGGCTTATCACTCCAAGAATTTTGTTTGTATTTGCAAATGCTCTCATGCACTGTTTAAGTGCTTTCACATCAAGGGATAACACAACCTCAATATCTTTTTTAGTCTATATAGCTTTGATACTAAATAGTATCAGTATCAAGCAACCCCATTTATATTGTATTCATAAACAATGTTCTTATTTCCAGTTTGCATTATTTTACATTTTGAAATAAAACTACATTTATTATTTAAGTTAATTTAAAATATATATTTTTATTTTATTATTAATTTTATGATCAGTTAATTAATTTCTAATTTAAACCATTTAAATTTAAAATAAACAATTCCTTAAAATAACTCTAAGCAAAAATCCAATTTTTAATGTTTCATACAATGCGCAAATAGCTTAAGTATAATTTTTTATTTGTTGATTTTAAAATTACCACGCAATTTTTTCTCATCTTTATAAATGATTACTTTTTTATTATTTATAATCCTTAAATTACCCGGTGTTTAAACAATTAAAAATATGTAAATTTTGACTGTTCTTATTTTTGTAATAGTAAATTTTTTGTTTAATTTTTTCACTACTTTTTGCAATATGATAAATTTACTGTTTCATTAAAACAGGTTTTTAATAAACTGAGAATTTAATGATCAAAAATTATTTCAAGATATCGCAATTCGCAATCATTTAATTGGAGCCTTGAGCTCTGAAACAACCACTAATCTCTGTATTTGGTAGCAATGTTTTTTGCAACATGGCGACAGCATTTATCAGTGGTTGAATATGATTCAGAGACCAGCCTCTGCAATAAACATATCAGTGAAGTCTTGGTCAGAAAAGTAATCAGATGCCTTTATATGACCATGCAAACAATACTTTTGACAGTTTGAGCACTGCTTTTTACATATCAAAAACTATGTAGAAAGATTTTTAATTATGCGTTAAAATAAAGAACATTGAAACTTTCATCTTTACAAGTATTTTTATATTATTTATACAAATTAATGATAATGATTTTTTTCAAATATTGAAAGTTAAAAAAATAAGTTGTGACCAAGAAACAAAAAGTTATGTTGAGAATAAGATTGTTTTAAGATATTAGATTGTTTAGGAAATATTTTTCAAATACCAAATTTAAATTTCATCAGTAATATGCTAATGATGAAATTTAACTTTTAACAATGTAAGTATCAAAGATGTGTTAAAGTTACATTTATTAGCATTACGCAATAAAATCTCATAACAAGACTTGCAACTACTTTAAACAAACAATTGTCTTTATTAAATTTTTTATCAGAATGAATAAAGTTAAATCATCATTTTTTTAAATGTGTAAGTATTTATTATCCTACTACTTTTAAATTAGCAAAAAGAACAGCTATAATTTAAATTAAATGTGCACATTTTTAAAACAATCATTTAATCTATCAAAGTTGCTACTTTATTTATAAGGTTTTCCCATATTACGAAAATATTTGCAAATATAAAAAATTCAAAGTTTTTTATTCCAAACGTAATTAAAAAACTTGATTGAATTAATCTTAATGTTTTCATATTTTAGGTTTTATTTTTGTTGTTTACATGTTGTTTATGTTTATTTTTTGTGTTTTAGTTCTTTTTTTTTTTTTTGTATGTATTTAGGTGCTCCCAGAAGTCCTTATGGTCTTATCATAGAGCACCGCAGGAGAGCATTTAATAAGAAGTTCACGCCTCCTTCCGTACCAATGTCGCTTGTTGGGCTGGAGCTGGCGTCAAACCTCGGACCTCTGGGTTCTGAGCCAGAACTCTAACCACTGCGTCATGGCTGCTCCAAAAGTTCTAGTTATTTTTTATTTATATTTTCTTTTATGTTTCGTCTAGCTTTTTAACGTATTTTTTAAATGAGCAAATTTTCAAATCATGTTAACAGCCGTAGTCAAATTGTCAAAACAAAGGATTATTTGCATGGTCACATATAATATAATATATGCAATTACAGGCTTTTCTGACTAAGACTGTCAGTGTATGCAGCTAGTTGCGTAGTAGTCATTTTCAGTCTTGTTACAACAGAAATGAGTTTTGGGCTTTTGTAGAATTTCATAAGGAACAAATGCTGGTATACCAGTCTGGGCTGAATGGTAATGATTTCTCATAGTTTTTCCAGACAATGCAGAAACAGTTGATTTGGGTAAATACTGTCACCGCTGTCATTATCTGATAACCATAATCTGTAATAAATATTTTTGCATTACAATTTTAATGTGCTACATTAGGTAACCAACCCTCGGAATTAGGGTCGACATTCAACAATGTCGATCTAACTGCCGACCTAAACCTGTTTGCGGTCATCAAAAATATTCGGTTTTGCCGACCTCGTTTCAATGTTTTATGGTAAGACCTTTGAATTTGCCGACCTGATGCCGACCTCTAAAAGATTGAGGTCGGCAAATTATTGTCGACCCTAATTTTCCTAATTCCAAGGGTTGGGTAACACAAGACTTGCATTGATGTCAGCAGTTGCAAACTGGTTATCTTAGCATCAAGCTCAGTAATGCCATTGCCAAAACCTTCAAAACAATGTTGCTGATAGTTGTCTTGTCTTCTTTGGTTAACAGCAGAGACTACAGAAGAAATTGATAAACAATATTATTTGCATGTGATAAACCTTACATGACAGTTAGTTCAGTCTAGCATGTGTTAGTGCTAAGGTCAAAAATGCCAGTAGGTGGCCAAAGGTTTCTGAAATCAATTTATGACAAGTTGCTAACAACAAAAAACACAGGGAATATAAACAAACCACATGGTAAATAACAAAACAAACATGGCGATAACCAAATGGCAAATCACACAAACAAACCACATGGCAATAATAATAATAATAATAATAATAATAATAATAATAATAATAATAATAATAATAGAGTTTGAAAATTTGTTACACTTTTAAACTCTTAAAATTTTAAACACTCAAGAAGACTTTGAGTTTAATTTCATATATTTGCATTTCTTTAGTTGGAATCCTTTTTCTTTTGATAAGCTCTCAGTGACAAGTCAGCTGAGACTATTAGGCCTTATTTTGAAAATAGCATATATTTGTAAAATTGATATATTTATCCTGTACTAAATAAATCTAGGAAACTGTTTTTATGTTATAGAAGATTCTATACCAAACTTTAGATTTACCAGATATGTAAAGTTTGGTATAGAATATATATGTAATGGTATAGAATATATATGTAATATGTAAAGTTTGGTATAGTATAGTATACGTATATGATATACGTATACTATACTTTAATACTATATGTAATAAATTTGTTATTTCAATTTTAGAGTTACAATGCAGTTTCCTTATAATGAAGATATGGAGCAGGATATAAATCTTGAAGATAATTTCTTATATTTAAAAAGACAGCATTTTGCGGTATATGACATTAAATTACATTTAAACTTACATTTTTGAGTTTTTATATATTTTTTTTTACATTATTATAGTAATTTGAATCATTAGTTAAATAGTTAAATATACATTAATTTAAGTTATTAAATAATTAAATATATACATATAAAACATATATATAAATAAAAAATATAAATTATTATACATGTTTTATAACTATGGCTTATTATATATTTTTACAAAAGGTATAAGTCAAAAAATATATTTATATATATCAAAATATGTCCTTTCAGTAGGGTTGCCAGATGTCCGGTTTTTACGAAGGAGAAGAACTTCCTCCGTTTGCAATGACATAGCAAATGGAAGAAGTTTTTTTTTTAATGATGAAATGGAGATAAATGATGATAAACAAGGAAATAAAAATAAATAAAAATCGTTTAAAAAAGATGATTAGAAGATTATAATAAAATTAAAAAAAAAAAGAATTAAGTAAAAGCATTGAAAATATAAAAGATTATAAATAAATAAATTGAAGAAAAACATTAAAAGAACAAATCAATTAAAAGCAAATATATCCTTTTGTTTTACTTTTTACTATTTTATCCTTCTGATAGTTAAAGAAATAGATAAATGTATTGAAACATATTTGATTTGCTTTTAATCATTTCTTTTAATTTTATTGGTACGTGTTACCCTGCTTCATCAGGCCATTGGTTACCCTGCTTCATCACACCATTGGTCTTTGATACGGATCCTAATCTGCTGTAAAAAAAGAGTTTTTAGTTATATCCAAAACAAAATCAATTGTCAATTTTACAAGTTTTTTGCATTATAGATAATTTCCATCCAAAACACTAGTGTTTGTAGAGTAGAGTTTTTTTTACTTCCTTTAAGTTAATTGTTGTTTATTGGAAATAGATTCCTTTTGAAGCAAAAAAGAATCTTGATTTTCTCATAAACAAATATTTTATAACATTAAAATTCACTTTGTTCTTTAATAACATTAAAATTCACTTGAAGTTTATATTAAACTAGTTGACCGGGTCCGTAAAAATACGGGTTTTTGTAAGTCCAAACCTTTTCTATACTTTTTTCTTATATATATCCTAATTTTCTGGACCTGTAAAATATGAGTATTTGCCAAATCTACCATTTCTATACTTATCTATTCCACATCGATTGTTTCTTTACCTATTCCTTATTCATTTCAATATTTTTCAATGAAATAATTAAGTCTGAAAAATTGCTTTAAGAGTAAAAAAATTAACATATTCACATCTTTTTCGCATATGTAAAGCTTATAAATGATCTATAATTAAGTTTGTTTTTCTCCTAAACTTATATCATTGATAGCTTCGCGATTTAGTGTGTATTTATGTGTCAAGTTAGCTCTTGCATTTATCTTACATTTTTTTGATTATGGTGCATACAGTTGCACAAAAAAATATAAAACTGGTACAGGTATATCATTTCACGGATAAGAGTTTGTTTTCATTACTATAGTAATAAATGAGTAGTTTTAAAAAAATACAGTAATTACAGAAAAAACTGGTGTACTCTCCGGTTTTTTCCTAGAATGAAACAGTTTTTATTTCTCACTTGAGTCGTCAGCTATGATAATCAGAATCCGGTGTAAAAGTTTTTTTTTTTTTTTTTTTGCGTTTTTTTTTTTTTTAGGTGAAAATAATAATAAAAAAATTTAAACATCTGGCGTCTAATAGTTTATTTATAACATATGGCGTCTAAATAGTTTATTTAAAAGTAAATTTATTAATTTATTAATTAAATTAAAGATGTGTTGTCATTTTTGTTGTAGTTGATATATGTATCGTATTGTTTGTTTTTGTTAATCTTAACAAAGGTTTCCTTACGTGAAGCAAAAATGTTGAAAGCAGGGTTGCAAAAAAAACAGTTTTTTTGAAAAAAACCAAAAACCATAGGTTTTTTTAAAAAAACCAAAAAAACCATGGTTTTTTTGGTTTAAATTAGGTTTTTACTAAAAAATGCGGTATTTAGTTATCATTTTAAATTAGGAAAAGAATAACATATTTTATTTGAGTGAACTATATTCTTTACCAATATTATTACCAATATTATTACCAAATATCTTTACCTATATTATATTTCATCAAAATTATTCAATATATCATTGTTTAATGTTCTATATATAAATACAAGCTTTGCTGCTTTTTCTACCCCTAATTGGTTTCTTAACTTCGTATGAACAAGACCAAAAGTTGAAAAAATTCTTTCGATTCCAGCACTAGAAGCTGGTGCATAATAACCTTTTAATATCCATTATGATTTTGCTTTTAATTTTAATATTATTGGTAACAAATTCTTGAACTCTTTATCTGCGAAATTCATGGCAGCTTTATTTTCATTTTCAGAAAGATTATATCCAAAATATCTAGGATTTAGTGTGTATGATAGGAAATGAGCATCACTGACAGTCAGAAAGTATCTAGATTCAATTTTTTTTTTTTTTTTTTTTTCGTTTGATAAAAATGATAAACTGTTCATCAAATCTTTAAAAATTTCCACAGTGTCACTTATTTTTGTTTGATCTCTTTGCAACTTATCTAGAGCTACTGCAATTAGTTTTAATATTTTCAACAAATCTTCTGTGTTTCACTTTATCTGTATATCACTTACTTTTTTACCAATCATGGGATCCAAGTCTTTATTTTTTTCAAACATTGTAAAAATGATGCTCCAGTTGTTGACATATTTTTTTACGTGAATCACATACAGAATTCCAGCGAGTTTCAGTAGGAAGTGGCAATTTTGTTCCTCCGCCTAATTTATAAATTGCTCCAGCTTGATGATTATTTCTTATATATTTTATTATTTGTTTAACATGCTTGCTCACATTTTCAATGTTAAGATCATTTGCTAAAAGATTCAGCATATGAGCTGCACATCCATAAGTTATTATAATATCTCTTTCAGATGACAATACTTGTCTCATTCATTTCATACTAGCTGCATTGTCAGTCACAAAGCTTTTTACTGTGCATCCAAATTTACGTCTTACAGAATCCATTGCTTCTCTTGCTAATTATGTAAGATATTCACCAGTATGTGAATGACCAGAAGTGTTGGTTGTTTCTACTAAAATGTTAATTTTGTCTGTAATTACAGAGATACAAACTATAGGTTCATTATATACATTACTCCAGCCATCTAAAGATATGGCTACAATTTTCCCATTCAACACATTACATTTTTCAATTTCTTCTGTGTAAACCCTATCTAATATTTCTCCTCCAATTTGAGTTCTATTAGGTAGAGTGTATCCTGGATGAAGCATATTGATAAATTTTTTAAATTCTTTGTGTTCAACTGTTCTGAAGCTAGAGTTTGTACTGTATATAAATCTACCAAGTTGCAGATCAAATAAATCTTTTTCTTCGAGGCTTGTTCGTGTGAAAAACTTATCAATTTTCAAATATTTATCAGCTGACGTTGAATTGGGCTGGGACCTTTTCATTTGTTGTTGTGATGTTGATGGTTAGTTACCTTTAAAATGAAATTGCAGTTTATTGAATTATTCTAAGTTAATGACTATACATGGTAGTAATTTAAATATATATATTTACAGTTTAGGCAAAGTATAAAATTTTAAATGACAATGTAGTAATTTAATTACCTTCAGTTGTTGATCTTCAATTGACTTTATAATTTCATGGGGTTGTGATTGCTTGCACTTTTTTATATGTTCATGCATCCTTTGAATTTGACCTTCCATTTCTTTTCTACATTCATTACAAACTGCTCTACACCCCTTTCTTTCTGGAACAGTCACTCGTGTATATTTCAACCAAATCATATCACATTTGCGCCCAGTTTTTTGAGACATTTTTGTTCAATTAATTATGTTAGAACTACTTATACTTTTGCTAACTATATAAATCTGTATATATATATATATATATATATATATATATATATATATATATATATATATATATATATATATATATATATATATATATGTTCAAATCTTTTCAAAAAAACATTAGTTTGGTTTAAACCAACATTTTTTTAATTGGTTTAAACCATGGTTTAAACCAATGGTTTAAACCTAAACCATGGTTTAAACCAATGGTTTAAACCATTTGGTTAAAACCATGCAACCCTGGTTGAAAGCCAAAACTGCAAAGAAGCATTTTATAAATAGAAAAATATTATATTATTCTCTCTCAATCTTCAATCAATTATAATTTAGTTGAATGTTTAAAATATTATGTTTTTGATGTTTTGAACATTTTTCATTATATTAAGACTCTTTTTTTTTAAGAAAAAAAGAATTTCCACATGCATCATTACTTGCGTTCGAATAATGACTTTTAATGTGTATCTTAATAATGTTTTTTATTTTGTTAATTTTGTTTGACAAAGTCAAAAAATATATATATTTTTCTAATGGAAAAAAGAAAAAAAAATCAGTGTTACTAATGATTCAACTGGCTTTCACATGGTTCAAAATGCGACTATAAGGTTTTAAAAATGATACAATAGTATTTAGACACCAAACTGATGCATAGGCGCATCTTATATATGCAAATTGCGTACCTAATTTTAATATATTACCTTTATATACATATATTAAACCCTATCATTAGCCTCAATCGGCCTTTGCCATCGGTACATAACAAAATAACAGTGTGATTTTATAGCAAATGACAGGTGAAACCTCACAATCACTCGGCAGCACAGGTTGACAATTTATAGTAATTTTGTCGGGTACCTGGTACACCATGGAGGTTTTCAGGTAACTGATACCTCTTTTTCTGTTTCTGGATTGTCATGCTCCTTCAAAAATTATTAAGCACCTCCAAAATTACCAGGCACCTCCAATGATTGTAAGATAAACCAGCACACTTGAAAAACTTACCTGGTACCCGGCACATCATTATTAAAAAGTAGAAAGTAGAAGCATACTATTGCAAACATTAAACAAGTGATATAAATTAAATTATAAGAAAATTTAATTTAAAAAAAATTAAATTATTCTACTTCAGTTCAAAATATTTATTTTTTTTCAAAAAAAAATTTAAGCATATATTTAAACTTATGGAAGTATAATTCGACTTAATAAACCAAATTTTTTTTCTCTCACTTTATTCTATTGCAAAACAATTTAAACAACAAAATTGAATGAAAACATTAACATTAAAACCCTTTGTATAGAAAAACCAATTATACTTAAATTTTTAATAGTAAGCTAGCTCAAGAAGCAATTAACTAGAAAAACTAGTAAGTTTCTAATAAGTTTTATCTAATAAGTTTAGTATTTTTTGAGTTTACACTAGTGATTTCGCCGGTTATCCGATTTTGCGGTTAACCAGATTTTGTTCAAATATCAAATATCTATTTTCGAATAATAAAAACCGACTTTATAATTTTACGAAATTTATAGAAAGTAACATCTTACTTATGACGATTATTGTTTGACAAATGCTAATTTATCAAAGATTATAATAAATTTCTTTTATTAATTTAAATATTAATTTAATCAGTTTTGTTTGATAATATATTCTTAAAACAATTTACAAAAGAAATCTCAAAGATTTATTTATTACTTTTGCTCAAAACAATACATTTTTAAGAAAGTTTCTTTGGAATATTCTGGAACTTTAATTCGCTTATTCAGCGTATTTTTTGAACCAATAGAAATCGTTTATGCGTAGATTTGGCGGTAATTTAGGGTTATCAAATATTCTTTATATTATCTTTCCGCAACAAGATGGTTTGAGAACATTCAAGTTTATCCATGTTTCCATCTATGTCCGCATAACAATAAGTTTTCGCTAAAAAAGTTAACTTTATAATATCTATCAAATGTTTTTATGAGAGAATGCTTTTGAAACATCCACTGATATTAAAACATTTTGATGAAAAAATTGCAAGGCTTATAGTTAAGTTATGTAACTATGTAACACGGTTTATAGTTATAGTTATGTTATGAGCTTAACTTTTTTAATTTAATTACATGAATCATTTTAATTTTTCTATATGAAAAATTATCTGTTTAGTTTAGAGCATAATGTCTAGTCTTAAAAAGAGTATTGTAAAAAAAAATTGACAATAATTTTTCTGTGTGCAGTGTGTGTGGTGAGAAAATATCGTGCAAAGGAGGAAGTACATCTGCAATGCAGAATCACCTAAAATTGCGTCATCCTTCTAATCTGGTTGTTGCTGGAAGATCTGGTGCAGGTTCGTCAACAAGTGCTAGTAATACCTTAATAAGTAGGTATTTTGACACAACAACTGTGGTTATGAATAGTGCCAAAAAAAAGGAGTACCGCAACAAGTTGGCAATGATGTGCGTTCAGGATCTACGTCCTATCAATTTTGTCTTAGGGAGAGGATTCCGTGCAGTGGCACAATTTTTGTATCCAGGTTAGAGCCATTTTTTTATTAATTAATTATATATATATATATATATATATATATATATATATATATATATATATATATATATATATATATATATATATACAGTGCTCAAAGTGAGGCGGGATGCCATCCTATCACCTATACATATATATATATATATATATATATATATATATATATATATTTAATATTGCATAGTAGATGTCAGGCCGTTCTAATAACAGCTTATTGTAGTGTTATTAACATTTTGAATTGTCACTAACACTTGAAAATTAATGCAAATAAAATATCTGGCTATATTAATATGATAACTTCCATTACTTCCATAACTTTATTACATTATTTACATTTTATTTACAGGAGCTCCACCAATAGGATACACATCAATTATCTCACGAATATCTTTGCAATTTGAGGCAAGAAAGTCTGCCATTTTTGCAGAAGTTCAGGCAATTATGGGACAACTAAACATATATCCTTGTCTCACAACAGATGGCTGGACATCGAATTCCAATGAAATCTTCATAGCTATTTCAATTCATTTATTTGACAAGAACTGGAACCTTGTCAGTTATGTTATCAATTTGATTCACTCCCAGGAGCGTCACACGAGCGTCAACCTACAGACAAGTTTGGAGGCTGCAATGGGTGCCTGGCATATTCCTGAAGCTTTCGCAGTGGTGTCAGACAATGCCGCAAATATTGTGCTGGCACTAACTTCAAGCAAACGTGTGCAGCATATGGTACAGTGTGTCGGGCATACAAGTCAATTGGCCATTAATGACAGCATCAATGCTTTGTCTTGAAAATGTACAGTTTAACATTAGTTTTTTAAAAATTAGTTTGAAACGCTACGTTCATTAAAATTTAGAAGATCCTTTATTCAGAAAGCGTCACTAATTTACCGAAAAGTCGGTTAACCGCAAATTGATGGGAACTGTTATCGGGTTTTTGAAACAGATAACCGGCAAAATCACTAGTTTACACATTTGCTTTTTGATTTGATTTTACTCATTTGGTCTCTAGGTAGAGCATGTTTTATGACGATAATGTTGTTATCATATCATATGATATATAATGTTATTCTCATATAATGTTATTATCATATTATATCATATGGTTTATAACATTAAAAACATAAAACACACTTAAAATAAAACAAAGTAAATAAACAGAATTATTCAAGTTAATAAATTAGAATTGATATTCTAATTTAACAACTTGAATAATTCTGTTTATTTACTTTGTTTTATTTTAGGTGTGTTATATGTTTTTAATGTTATAAACCATATAAAACAGCAATAAAACAACAGCGAAGCTGTTTTATATTAACACAAGACTTTTTTTATTGACAAAATAACTTCTCAGTTTTGTTTTATTGTTGCTTTTTACATTAACAATTTAATACTCTTTAAAAGTAAATGATAGCTTATAACTGTTATAAAATGATTGGATATTGTAATATTTGCATTTTTACTTTTACTTTTAAAAATAACAATTTAACATAATAAAAACATTTACTAAAATTAATATTGTAGTAGTATTAAATACTGTAAATTATTAAAATAACTGTGAATTATAACGGTAACTTAAGCTATTTTAAACCCCACCAAACAAGATATTATGAGATATTATTTAAATGTGAGAAATATTATGTTAAAAAGTAGCTATTAAAAACTAATGCACAAAAAAAATTATTTTGTATTAAGGCAACTCTTCCCACAAAGTAGGGGATGGAGGGTGAAGGGTTTTTGAAAAAACTTAAAATTTTTTTGTTTTGGATTTTTTTTGTTAATTTGAGCTCTGTACAGTATCAGTAGATTTAAGTATAGAATTTATATATATATATATATATATATATATATATATATATATATATATATATATATATATATATATATATATATATATATATATATATATATATATATATATATATGTAACATTCAAGTATAGAATTTATATATATATACACACTCAGAGTTAATTTTACATAACTCAAACCTCGAAGGGACCAAGGAAAATGGTTTAACTTAAGGAATGTTTGACTAAAAATGAAATCTCATTAAGTCAAACTTTGGTTAATATGTGATATTAGTTCGAGTTTAAGTAATTTTTTTTCCTTTAATGTAAACAATGAGTATACACCAATAAAAGTGAAACTTCATACTAATAAAAGTGTGAAGTCTTGGTAAAAGTAGTTATGTATTCATGCTTTTCACTTAAAAGATAACATTCAAGAAGCCTAGCAACACAATGATTTCATTATTTGAAAATTGCAATTTAAATTGGTGGTCTTTTATTAAGAAGTTGATTAAAACTATAAAATAATTGCTTTATTAAGAAATGTTCTACCTTTATTTAGTTTTATTATAGCTTTATTTAATGGTTAATAGTTCTACTATGACTTTTTTTTATGTCTGATATCGATCTATTCTATTCAGATCTAAATATAATAAGAAATATATATATATATATATATATATATATATATATATATATATATATATATATATATATATATATATATATATATATATATATATATATATATAACGGATATAAGCCTATGCAATAAATGGTTTCTATATTGTTTTGATTTTATTGTAAAATAATATACTTTTAGACGAATTAAATGTCGGAAAAGTAATTGCACAATGAAATACATAGTTTGTCTCTGTGAGGAAAGTAGAAAGGTAATTCATGCCATTTTTGTATTAATATTAATAGGCATTTACAGTTAAAATTCATAAATATGTAAGGTTAGAGAAAATAAAATAGCCTTAAGTCATTTTAAAAATTGCTGCTCTTTTATGAAGTTATGTTAAAATGATTATTTATCTCTAATCATTTGATCATTAATTCATTCTATTCACTTTGAATTTAAATACTTTCAAATTTAGAATATTTGACTTATTTTAGGTCCCTGTTCTGGAAAGAGAATATTTAAAGGACCAAAGATGCAAGATAGGGCCAAAAGGAAGTTGGCAGTTAGGCAATATGGACCAAGCGGAGGCAACTTGAAATGCCAAAAAGTATATTAGAGAGAAAAATGAGGCCACTAGAAAGCTCATTAGACAAAAAACTCTTCAAAAAACATCAGAATCCATTCGAATAGTAGTTTTAGTGCTGATTCTTCAAGTTTAGATACAACTGAAAGTGAAGAGTTTGAGGAGCAAATACTTAGTGAAAGAAATTACACAGAATTAACTAATTTAGCCAAGGCTGCAATAAGATACAAAGTAAGCGATGCTGCAGCAGCTTCCGTAGCAACAGCTGTATTAATTGACTACGGAGTAGTAAGTAAGAGTAAAAAATCTCAGACAATTACAGAATATAAGGTATTTTGTGAAAAAGCACGAGTGGCTAAATCAATTGACACTAAGCATTGTCAAGAGGTTTTAGAAATAAAGGCATTTGGTGTTGATAGCAAGAAAGACAAAAATTAATTAGTTCAAGTGATGAAATACAAGAGTAATGGGGACCCTTTCTTTTATCAAACCACCAATGATGAACATCACCTCACTTTTACTTGTGAAAATGATCCTTACTCTGGAAATTATCTAACACATGTGATAATAGAAAATGGTAAAGGTAGTACTATGGCTTTAGCAACATTAAATGTGCTTTCTGAATATGATAGTGTTCAAAGCTTAGAAGCGATTGTTCTTGAAAATACAAGTTCTAACACTGGCATAGATAATGGTTTAGTTGTCAAATTAGAAAAGCTTTTGAATCGTAGCATTTATTTAGTTGGATGTTTGCTTCACCAGGGTGAGCTACCTCTTCGTCATGTTATATCTGAAATAGATGGACAAACTAATGATCCTAAAAAATATTAAGGTCCTATTAGTATGCAAGTGTCTAATATATTCATGGATGAACAACCTTTGGTTAAGTTTATTCCTATAGATACCAAGATAGAGTTTTATGTAAATCCCGACATTGTTTGCAATCTGAATACAGACCAGCCTAAACTTTATGAGTATTGTATTGGAATAGGTAAAGGTTCCATTTCTGTCAAGTATGCTAATAAAAAACCTGGTCCTATCTGTCATGCACACTGGCTAACCCTTGCTTTAAGAATTATGATGGTTTATGCAAGAACTGAGATATGCAAGATTTAGATGTAATGTGATGCATGTGTACATGCATCACATCACATCTAAACTGCATCACAAAGTACATAGTTCAAGTCTACTGTCCAATGTGGTTTGCTGTAAAAAGTTCAGCGCATTACAAAAATGCACCAAAACTCCTCCATAAAACAATACAGTTAGTCAAAAAACAGGATGACAGAATTGAAAAGATTGTATTGAAAAATATTCAGGGTAACTCCTATTGCTGCTGTCAAGAAAATTTTTTTTATGCTATGCTGCTGGACGATGAAAAAGTTGTAAGAGATCGTGCTTCAATCTAATCTTGGAGATTAGGTTATCTAGGGAAACAAATCCAGATTTTAAACCTAAAATCAAAGCTAAGACAATTATGACCTTGAACTTCAATGCTGGTGTTTGGACCGACTTAATTAAAGTTTTTTCAAACAAATTGAACCTCCCACTTCAATTTTTATTTCTTCAAACGAATTACAACAAGCTGTTCAAACTGGCAATAAACTTTCTTTAACTGATTTGCCAAACAATTCTCAGTTGGTGGAAAGAGCTGTAAAACTCACATCTGAAGCTTCTAAAAAGGTTTATGGACGGGTGAAGAGACAACTTTATTCTGGCTAAAAACCAAAGTAGAGCCGAAAACAAAAGAAATGTGCAAAAATTCAGAATATTGTATACTTTTCCCAGAGTAATTTTACAATCTTGTATAATGCGAATATAATATATATTGAATACAATACAAAACTATAATATATAGTATATCAATATTATTGATATTGAAAATTTTTTCTATGACACTGATGATTAAGACATATAAAATTGAGTTCAATGTACTCTTTTATGAAAAGACATTCAAAAATTTTATTACAACATTAAACTTGGTGTAACTTTCATTGTGAGGTCTATAAAATCGTTGAAGTTCCAGTATATGCTAAAAAGACCCTGGCTCAAGCTATTTTTAAACACCAACAATTTTAAAGAACTTTTTGTTAACAATTGAGTTAAAAACTAGAAAATCCGATTTTCTAGTTTTGAACTAATATTTAATAGAACTTTTCATAAACATCTGCGACGTAAACTTTTTACGGACCTTTGTTTCTACGTGACATTAGCCAATAAGCTTTCATAAAACATTGTGAAAACGAGGCAAGACTTGTAAAAAGTTTCCGTCACAGATATTTATGATTTTGCGAAATATTTAATTAATTTAAATGTTTGAAAAAAAAACAAATAATTGAAAACTTTAAATGATTTTCCAAAATGATTATAACTCCAAATTGTATAATTTTCCGAATTATGTTTATATTTATGGCTTACATAAATCCCAAAGTGAGCCAACATGCTTTGGAAAAAAAAGTATGTATAGACAGTGGCTTTATATATATATATATATATATATGTATATATATATATATATATATATATATATATATATATATATATATATATATATATATATTTATATATTTATATATTTATATATTTATATATATATATATATTATATATATATATATATATATATATATATATATATATATATATATATATATATATATATATATATATATATATATATATATATGTATGTATATATATATATATATATATATATATATATATATATATATATATATATATATATATATATATATGTATATATATATATATATATATATATATATATATATATATATATATATATATATATGTATATATATATCCTTGCACCTTTAAATATTACCATAAAATGTAAACTTTTGTTTACATTTTATTTTTATTTTTAAATCAGTTTAGAAGACTGGAAAAAGTTTGTGATAAACTAAATTTTTATGGAATAGGAATTTTTTTAAAATTATATGAAGTAACTATATATAATTGGATAAAATATATGATTAAAAAACAGGTTTCATTTAAAAAATAAAATTAATTTTTCTCAGAATGCTGTCAAGTAGTTGGTTCTGGTAATTAACTAAACTAATGCTAGTGAATAAAGTGTGTTCCTTTAAAAAAATTGGATCTTTTTGATTTTGTTTTATGTTCCTGTTTTAATGGAGGACAGGGATCTCTTAAGATTATTATGTATATCACATGTTTGACCCATCAGCATTAAATTTTCAACCAAGGTATGTATCAGATCATTAAGATGATCATACTAGGTATAGTTCAAAAGAGAAATATCTTTGAATTCTTTCTAACTTAACTAACTTCATTGAGGTTTACTTAGTTGGCCTTTGATCTCAAACTCATCAACTCTTTCTTTTGGATTATCTGAACCTAGTTTTCTTAGCTTGACTTAAGGAAGCATTTTAAATATTGAATAAGCAATGTCTGAATGTTTTTTTAACCCATTAGCTGATCACAATAGCAAAATACCTTTTTTTTCTATTGTGATTGGCTAATGAATGAAAAAACAGAGTTCCAAAGGCTCTTAGATTATAAGCAGATGAATTCAGCAAGTTACAGTTTGAAAACAAAACTCATTTGCAAATTAAATATTCAAAAAATGTTACTTATCCATGTCCTTTATATAAAAAGTTAATTAGTGCCTAATACAGCTTTTTAAATTCCTTTTTTTTATGGTGTTGCGTTTCATATTTATTTCTTAGATTTAATAATTTTACAGCACTACTTATCTCCATACCTTTAGATTGTATAGATTTGCTTGCTATATTATATATTATATATATACATATTAATTACCCTTAGGTTATTTTATTTATGGGGGAATATTTATAAAGTTGATACTAAAAACTTTATGTTATATTAACGATCCAAGCATAAAGCATTATTTATTTTTTTTCTTTTGACTTCGAGAGATTGTAAATATTGGTTTCTAAGGAATTGTTTAAAGTTAATTTTCTAATTATTATCTTTACTATTAAAGTCTCAGAGTTTAAGAGGTTTTGTTTTAGTAAATGTCTAAATTTAAGAGGTTTTGTTTTAGAAAATGTTTAGGGTGCCCCTTAAAATTTAGTGTCTGGGACACCTGCTTGGTTTGTCTTTTTCTTATTCTTACTCTGACCAGAATTAATGTGTATATTATTTTTTAAGTAATAATTATATATTTTTTATTATTGTTGTTAATTCTATTTTTAATATAGATTGGGTACAGTGATGGAGTGATGGCTGGCAAAGAGTATATTCTTCAAAATTCTTTTAATCAGTCATTTATTAATTCTGCAAAATGGTTTCAAAATATAGCTATCTACAGAGGTGTATTTAGGTGAATGTTTTTTTTTTTATATGTATGTATGTATGTATATATGTATATATGTATATATGTATATATATATATATATATATATATATATATATATATATATATATATATATATATATATATATATATATATATATATATATATATATACGATTTTTTTTTGTATAAGCAACTTAGAATTTTGGTCAGAACTCGAGTTGCTTATTTTTCAGCCAATTTCTATTTCTCGAGTTGCTTAATGGTTGCTTAAGTTTCTTAGCCTACATTTCAGTGTTTTTTACGAATAAGAGACAAAATACGGTTTAATATTAAGTCTTAAACAGAAGAGTGCTCTTTACAACTAAAATCACTTAAATTCTAATTAAAAAAAAGATCACAAATGTTTCTATCTTCTGCTGGATCTTTATTTTCTTCATCTCCACTTTTTTCGTCTTCTTGTCCGTCTGATTTTTCTACATGTTCATCTAGTTCCTCGTCTTCTCCGTCTGATTCGTCAGGCAAAACATCAATAGGGTTATCCTTTACTTCGTCTGGAATAGGAGTCTCTGTGATTTCCACCAGGTTGTCAATGTCAACAGGGGGTGAAGCAACATAAACAGGCATGCCTTCAGGATTTATCTTATCGTCCTCGCTACCATCAGCCGTGATAAGACATCCTGTTTTCGCAAAGCTCCTATAAAGCATACAAAGAAATTTCTCGTCTTTGGATAATTTACGGTAAGCTTCACCGACCTAACGAGTTATCAAAATGCGGCGATCTTTTGCCGACAGTTTCCGATCATCGTTGCCAAGCCAGAGTTCGATGTTTTCATCATTTTCGAGCCAGATGTTTTGTTCTGCTTTAATATGTGATTTAAATGCTTTTCCTGGTCCGGCATCAACAGGTTGCCAAAAATGTGTCCCGTTGGGAACACCAAACCAGACAATACCTTTATGTTGTCGCACTTTATTCAAAAACTCATCACTGACTTGGGCCTCTGAAAATCAACGCCGGCTTCACCATTCCTTCAGGACTGAAACATATTTGAAGGGTAGCTTGTCACTTATTAAGCTCACTGCCAGGTTGAGCTACCCATACTCTATGGTCCCTTCGTTTCTTTCCCTTACTCATTGGAATTTCGGATGTTCGTTTGCTCTCGACTACAAATGGGAGTGGAATTTGATCTACATTGATTCTCTTTTTCAGTGGGAAACGCCCCCATTTATTATCATATGTGGGTTTGCCACTTCCAAACTTAATCAACTTTTCTCTCAAATTTGAATGCCATTTCATCAGAATCGGGGTTTGCTTCTTTACGTCAGCTTAGCGCTTACATTGAACACACAGCATGCGGATCTTATTTTTCCTTAAGAAATGAGTGACTATTGATTTTGGCAATCTGTCAGCATTCGGGCTTTGTTGTAGATGAATTTGATTCGCTCAGACATACAACCACTCAAAGTTAACTTTTAGCTCCTTTTTTCTTGCTTCAGAGAATTTGTCATAAAGTTTGTTAAACAAAGCTTTGTGTTTGTCGTCTCTTTGGCATTTCCTGAATAATGCGTTTTTCTTTTTTTCGTTGTACTTGTAGATTTTTTTTTCCTTTGATTTCCATTGCGTAATCATACTCTTATGAACGCTATACTTTTTTGCTATATCCCTACTTAACATACCATCGTTTAAGTCATTTAGCGCATCAACCTTTTCTTTTAACGCATAGCTCTTCCGTTTGTCAGCAATTTTTGGTAATTCGTTAGCTTCAACATCAGTAACAAGCCTCTCTAAAACCAATTTCACAGTTTTTTCAATATTATCATACTTGTTCTTTCCATCAATGATTTGATCCAAGCTCATTGATTTCGGGTCTTTGTCAGTTTGAGCAATATCCGTATGTGATAACTTATTTTTACACCAAAACTCGTGCATCAAAAGGGCTTGTGATGTTTTCAATGATTTTTTGCAAACAATACATTCAAACAAATTATCTTCTTTTTCCTTCGGCACTACATTTACCAACTCAACAGGATGACAAATCTTTTTGGTAAAACCAAAATTGAACAAATTTGTCTGCTTTCTCTTACTCATTATCTTAACAGCGTTGTCAACAACATGCACAACAACAACACTACTGTGATTACTTTCTTTTGAAATTATGTATCTAAAAGAAGTCATTACATTGCAGAGAAAAAAATTGCAATTTATGAGTTGCTTATGTTAACATTTGTTCAGAACTGAAGCTGCTTAGTATTTTTTCACATCGAGTTCAGTTGCTTATAAACGAGTTGCTTATACAAAAAAAATCGTATATATATATATATATATATATATATATATATATATATATATATATATATATATATATATATAAGTTATATATATAGTTACATATAAATATAATTAATATATATGTGTATGTGTAATGATATTTATAATTTGTTTTATGTTGGCATTATTATTTGAGATCTTTTGTTATTTATTTTTATATATATTTTATGTCAGCATTATTATTTGGGATTTTTTGTTATTTTGAAAAAACAAAAAAATCCCAAAATGGATTTTTTTTTGTTTGGTTTTTTATTTTTAATATTTTTATATTTAAATTATTATTTTTTTATGCTCATTTAAACATAAGAAAGAAGAAATGTTAGGTAGCAGTACATTGGTACTGCTACAGGGTGTTAACCAGGAATAAATTTGATACAGCGTTTTGACGAAATTAAGAATTTGTCAAAATATTTCTCAAACCTTTCCCTGCCCCTCCCTTGAGATTAAAATATATTCCGGGAATGTGTGAGGTCCTCTTTTTATATATTTTCCTTCTACTCCAGCGCTGCATACATTGATTGGACAGCGCCAAAAATAAAATAAAATACCAAGCATACGCATTCACATGCTTTTGGGAAACCCCTCCCCCCATACCTGCATACGTACTTTATGAATGGCCCAATACATTAAGAATTATATATTTTTATATTATAAAATAATCAGTGTGTCTAAAATAATTATTATTAACAATAATATATTTGATTTGTTTTTAATATATCATTGCAGCTTTCATTTTAAGAGTATTCTTTTGAATATATATTTCTTTTTGAATGGTGGATATTAAATGGAGATTTTTAAAGTAATATAGCAATTTAAGTACAAAAGTACAAAATCTCAACAATAACAACAACAAATGTTGTTTAATTACAAAAAAAAGTGATCACAATTACAAAAAAAGTGATCGCTTGTACGATTTTTAAATTTCTAGTACCAGTTTGTTGTAATAAAAAAAAACACTCTTTTTATTAAATGTATTTAATTTACTTTTAATGTGTACTTAATTTATGTTTTAAATAAAAGCAAGCAGTAAAGTACCAGTTTTTTATAATCATAAAACATTTTTTGTACTTAACTTATATTTCAAAGGTGGTCTTTTAAAAAAGTTAATTGAGAAAAAATAGTAGATGAGTAAAAAATGATTTTAGTCAATGTGATCATGTAATTCAGTTGATATAAAATACCAAACAAAAAATGATAAATAATAAAAGACTTACCGTAATATCTGTAATTGATCAAAATTTCGAAAGTATCTGATATAGGCAGCTTCTCAATATTTTTGTTGACAAAGCACATGTACAACTTGTAGTAGAGTTTGCAGTAAGACTTAATAAGTTATTTAACTTTTCTGCCAAAAAGGGCAATACCTTTTAAAAAATGTAATTTACGGGTGTTAAACTAAACAAGTTTGTTATTTTTTTAGATTGTACTCTATTTCTTGCTAACTTTTTTACGTAATATTTGCTGTTGTTGGAATGCAAAGCAAAAAAATATTTGCAAATTTTGAAAAATGAATTTTGCAAGCAAGTTTCTGAGAAAATCCCTAAAATCGCTGGGAAAATTCCAATTATCAAGAATTTTTTTCCAGGCATTTTCACAGTTATGCAATCGCGTTTCGCAGTTATGCAATCACCAATAACAGTAATTTTGTTTCAAGTTTTATACAATTTTTTTTTTTTTTAATTTTATTTAGGTGCTTCAAAAAGTCCTTACGGTTTTATCACAGCACCGCAGATGATCATTTTATGGAAAGTTTTTCCTCTTTCCTAAGCAATGTTGCAAAACTTGCCCAGAGGTGGGGTTTGAACCAAGGATCCTTTGTTTTTTAGACAAGTGCGTAGCGCACTTAGCTACTATTGCGCCATGACTGCTAATCAACAAATTAAAGTTTTTTATGTTATTTTTTTATTAGTTTTTAAAAATTATTAATTTTCAATAATTTTTAGAATTATTAATAAACTTTAATTTGGCAAACTTTATTTGAAGAATAGGATTTTTTCACCTTTAAATTGGGAATTTAATTTTTATGAGAATTTGGAATACCGCATTTGACCGGGCCCTGCAGGGCTAGTTTACACCCTGTGCTACCCAACATTTCTTCTAAGGCCTTGTTGCAAATTTTTTCAAATTTCTATTGTTCTGAATTAGTCTTAATCTTTCCTAATCAAAATTTATTTGTCTTTTCTTATCAAAAAAATATTTTGGTAATTTTTTACTAGATCAGTATATTTCTTGGCAAAGTGTTAATGCTTAAATTGTTTATTCAGAAACAAGATAAAAAGTACTTAAATTGTTTTCCCTATCAATAAAACCTACGATAGGCATTCCCAAAAAACCACATAGAAAGTTGTTTATGATTTGTCTAATAAGTAATCTCCAAGTTACATTTAATTTTAATCTATATAAATATTTTGTAAACAAAGGTATACATTATTAATGTTATCAAAGAAAAAATTAAGTTTGAAACAGAATCGTACGGAATAAAATAATGCATATTTTAGTTACTAGATAAATAAATTTCAGTTTCTTGGAAAATATAAATTTTAGCAACACGCTTTTTTTTTTAAATAATATTTTATATATTAGTAAAGATTTCCGGAAAGTTACAGGGTTCAGGCACATTAGTGTTAGGATTTTTTATATCTTTTTTATTTTATTAGTCTATTCCACTTTTTTTTATTTTACTGACTATTTCGAAATAACAGATGATGGTTGAAAAGTTTTCAGACATACAAATGGGTAACTAATGATATGTCTTTATCTAATATAGATATAATATATGTCTAATAGATAAATAATTTATTTACTCTTGTATATGTGACAATACGAACGGCTAATCATTCGTACGTCCAATATATAAGTATAGATAAATTAAATATCTCGTAGATAAAAACTTGAAAAAAGCCATAGTTGTGTTTAATATTTTAACCGTTTATGATAAAAGACAAAACTTAAAAAAAAAACAGTGATGGCGTGTATATATGTAAATATTTATTTGAAGCAGTGCGACACTTATAATACCAAATTTTGTGGCATGCAATCAATAATATATTTTAGAACATTCTTCTACTGAAATATTAAGCTTGTAATAGATATTTTTTGTGTAACTGATTCAGTTTAATTGTTAGTAAACAGTTTTAAAATGGCAAGTTGTAAAAAAAAGCTTGTGATATTGTTACCCAGCCTGTTTTAGTTGTTGTTCCAACTAATAAAAAGTAAAAAAGACTACAAAAACCCCTAAAATTTTTGATTGTTTATGTTGTTCAAAAGGTAAACCTGTACCATGTAAGTACAGCAAAGTCTTGTCTGTAGCATTAGATAACCCACTGAAGATTTTTGAACTTCTAATAAACTCGTAGGTATGATAATAAAAATGACAAATAAATATACATTTCAATGCAATATAGGCAAAGTGCACTCCAAAGTATCCTGTCTTTTAAACTTAAAATGGAACGACATGTACAAACCAAGGCATGAATGGTATTATTCTTAAAATTTGCTAATCCTAACACCTGTATTTAGACACCTAAACTTTTACAAAATATTTTTTTAAATAAACTTTTACGTATTGAAATCTCCACTTTGTTGACAATCAGGAGTTAGGAGAGGATTTATATTTACTGGTTTTAGTTGATCATTTTTATTAGTTTATTAAAGTTACACTTTTTTTAATGTTATTTAATTTTATTTTCATTTTTGTTCGCTCTACCTAATACTTGCAATTTTAGAAATTAACCCGACGCTGGAGCTATTGAGCGTCAAAATTAGGTGACGGCTAACGGGTTCATAAATTTAATTAAACTTATGCTTTTTTTTTGTTATTGCTTGATTATTTTTTATTTTATTTTAGCGCATTACTATTTCAGTTGCAGAAAAGATCTTGTCCAATAAATATTTTGACGAAATTAGAAGATCTTTTATTTAAGTTTGAGGCATTTGAAAATTCCGAGATTCATTTGGATTTTCTTAAAGAGTCTTTATCAAAAGAAATATCAATAAAAGACGTTCAACCTGTCACAAAACCATTTGATGAAGTGAACATTGATATCATTAGTGAAAGTATAAAAAACTTAAATAATATCGATTCCCTTCAACCTTCATATAATAATTATAAAACAGAACCGACTTCTATTTTATTAGATATATCATCTGAAGGAATGTGTTTAACTAAAGAAGCTGAATTGAGTCGATTGAAAAGAAACGATATTTTTTTATTAATGAAGTGTGTATTTGATGAGTTAGAACCTTTTCTGGAGATACCACAGTACAACGCAGTTAAAGAGTATTTATCGATAGTTTAAATATTAACGATAGCGATATCGCTCATTTAATAAGTATTTATCGATAATTTTATCTATGATTAAATGAGCATTTTTTGCTAATTAAAATACTATTAATTATTTTGATATTAGTCTATTAATTTAATTTTTTTTTTTTTTTTTTTTTTTGCGTTAAATTAAGTAATACGCTTAAATTTTATGAAAGTTTACCCTCCACCTTTGTTTTTTATTTTTTGTAAAATAAGATCCTTCTATTTCAAGCTAAAGTTTTAAAAAAGTGTTTTATATATATATATATATATATATATATATATATATATATATATATATATATATATATATATATATATATATATATTTAAAATTTAATTGTCTTTATTAAATTAATAAAATTTAAATTTAAAATAAATTTATAACAAAATGAAAAATATATATATATATATATAATACCTCAGTTATAAAACAAAAATTAGTTATCCGGAACAGTATTTTTTGAAGTTGATAGAATTAATTTTAATTTTGAAGCTCTCGATATTTTTGGCATTAACGACGTCAGATGGCAAGTTATTACAAATATTAACAGCCCTGAGTGAGAAAGAGTATTTACGAACATCGAGTTTACACTTTAGTTTGCCTAATTTAAATATGTGGATTAACTGACTTACCATGACCCGTATAATTATTACTGAATATTAATATATTACTGGTCATGGTTAGACTACTCCACACTTACCATTTTAATAATTTCGCTTTATTTCAATAATTTTTAAAAAAGTCTAACGAGTTAACGATTAACTTTCAATACTTTACAACTTCTTTAAACTTTTAATGTAAACTCTATCATGACACATGCGCATTCCGAATTTCTAACGGCGTCTTCATGTTTTTAGAAATTTAAAAAGCTTTTTAAAAAATTCTATCCCTATCGTTTGTTGTACCAGGGGCAGATCAAATTTTTGTATTTTCATACTTTCGTCATTTATGGATGATTTGTCAAAAATTGCACTGATTAGAGTCTGAGAAGAAAAAAACCCTAAATAGTAGGCATCACCCGCCCTAATGTGGGGGGAATCGGTTTTTCTAAATATAAGTTCTAATATCCTAAATTAGGTGGAATATCGTTAGGGTTCTCAATTATTTTTTTTTAATATTATGTTGTTTAGAAATAATACCCACTTGAAATTTACAGTCCCCTCGTTTTGAAGGGGCTCTTAACTTTAAATGGCTATAATTTTTGAACGCTAGATGATTTTTTGATCAAATATGAATTTTATCAAAGGAAGTAACTTTTTTTTTTCGAAAAATCATTTTCCCTCTCATTTGGGCGGGTGATGCCTACTATTTAGGGTATTTTGTTCCAGGCTTTAATCAAAGCAATTTTCGGCAAAGCATTCTTAAATGACATAAGTATGAGCATAAAAAAGTTTGGAGTTTAGAACTTACCTGAATGTTATTCAACTCGAGCACCAAAAAATCCTGGATCTGCCCCTTGTACAGTATATAACATCTTTATATATGATATGCGTATAATATCTGTAGACCTTTAAAATTGTTTCACTTTGTATTCTAGAAAATTAAAAAAGAAAAAAAAAATGGTACAGTAATTAGAAAAAAAAATTTCTATTCAACTTTTACCAATGTTTTTTTTTTTTTTTTCAAATTGTAAATATGCTCTTAAAAAGCTTAAAAAATGAAAAAAAAATTGAATTTTTTTTTTTAATTTTTATTTATTAATGGGGTTAAGGGCGACGGAGATTTTCCTGCAACCGTTCATAATTTATGATTGAAATTTTGGCTGGTGATAAATGTGTCATGGACTGAAAGATTTAAGTTAGATCCAAAACTCGATAAAATATTACCATTTTTGTAAATTTGGGCAAGTATGGGGTAAAATAAGGTCACAAAATTTTAAAAAAATACTAAACGAGAGAAGCAGTAAAGATTATTCTAGTGTAAATACTAATGCAACGAATAAGTGGGCCAAATTTAAAATAAATTTGATAATTAATTTTAAAAATATATCTGTTGCCAGCCCAAAAACATAATTTTGAGAAAAATACAAGTAAAAAAAAAAAAGGAAACAAAGTTCAAAAATCTTCACTTTTTTACAATACACCAACTAATGTTTTATTTTGATCACAAAAACTATTTTGTATTTCTAATAACATTTTTTTTTTTTTCGATTTTGTTTTACGGTTACATTGCTTTTCTGCTTTCGAGACTTGTTTGATGTACTTACATAAACTACAATTTTGCCCATTATTACTAACACTTCAAAATGCTGCGTCATTCATTACGGTCGAAACAACCCCCATTACAATTACTTTCTTCAAAATAACCAAGGAATCAACCAATCTCTAAGAAGCTCTACTAAAGAACGTGATTTAGGAGTCATTTTTACATCTAACCTCAAGTGGAGCGCTCATATTCAAACAGTTGTCTCTAAGTCCTTACAAATTCTCGGTATGCTGAAAAAGACATTCACTTTCATTGATGAAAAAATGGCTCTCAAATTATATAAAGTATTTATAAGACCACATCTTGAATATGGAGTGTCCATTTGGGCTCCTTTTTTAAAAGCTGATATGGCTTTGGTTGAATCTGTTCAACGCAAAGCTACAAAATGGGCTTACAGCTTGAGGCATCTTCAATACTGCGAAAGGCTAAAAAGATTAAACCTACCATCACTTGAGTTTCGACGCCTTCGATGCGATTTAATCCAAATTTTTAAATTAATACATCGTTTTGATATAGTTAATGATAAATATCTACCAAAATATATTAACTCCGTGTCTCGTGGTCACCATTCTAAAATAAGGCGTGAGTATGTTCTAAACTGTCTTCCAAGATATAATCATTTGTATAATAGATCAGCAAAATACTGGAACAATCTACCAGAGCAAATAACTTTGTACTCCACTGTACTTTCTTTCAAAAATAGACTAGACTCCTGGTTGTGGAAAAAGTTTGGAACAAATATTTATAAAACTGGTTGTTTATAGTGGGGTGTTTCCCCTGCTCGCTGTATGTGTACATTCTATGTAAATTTACGGCTACAACTATAATAATAATAATTAAAAAAAAAAAAAAAAAAAAAAAAAAAAAAAAAATAATAATAATAATAAAAAATGTCATTTTAAACTCATTAAAAAAGTTATTTAAAAATTGTTTTTCATTATAGAATGTAGAACAGCTGATCCTACTTCAATACTTAGAGGAGTTCTTTCAACATGTATACAGTTTAAACATCTCGTATAATTTGATTTAGCGATTTATTGGAACTCTGTTTTTTTTTTGTTTTTTTTTTCGTGAAAACATTTTTCAGAAAAGTTATCAGAAGAAATGACAAAAAGTATTGGTTTGATTGTGTGCACAACAGTTAAAATAAAAAAATTCAAATATATTTCATTTTTTGAAGCCATTTATTTAGATTGGAATTTGTACGATGAGCCTTTGGTGCACATACAAAACTGATGGCAATCTTTTACCCAATTCACGTAATGCTACAACATTAGGCTTTATGTCAAGTGATTAAACACACGTTTAACTAGAACATTTTATTTTGCATTAGAGTTCTTTTTAGCAATAGTAGGAGATAAATAAATAAAGAGTTTCTCATTAAAAGCCATTGCAAATAGTTTATAGTCCAGTACTTAGGCTTACTTTTTTAGATGAAAAAAGAAGAATCAAATTTTAAATTTACAAAATCTTTACATTCTAGACATTTCAGAAGTATAACTATGTTTTAAGGTAAAATAAATCTCATTATAAAGTTAAAATCTTCTTTTATATTTAAAAAAATCCTGTACAACTTCTTTGTTCGATAACTTATTGAAGGAGGATCAGCTTGGAATATTTTCAATTGAACTTCTGTCTGAAAGTATAGCAGTGGTTTGTTTAAAAATGTAAATCCATTTATCATTGTTTTTATGAAACTTTGATTTTACATTAGGTAAAGCTTTTTTAAAGATAATTTTCTTTTTGATCCATCCACAGCACTTTTATTTAAATAAGATATTAAAAAAACTTATGTATAGAGTCACAAATAACTTTGACAAGAGCATAAAGTAGTACTAATAGCTGTCTTGTACGCATTGAACTCACGTTAATCAAATCAATAAACAAGAAGCAATAGGTGAATAACAATACTTTGTTTTATAAAGGTGTTTTTATTGCATTTTGTGGTATAATTTCATTGCAAAAATGCGTAACAACGGAAAAATGAAAGCGTTGCTATAAATAAAAAATGATACTGAATCTTTTTAAACAAAGATACCAAAGTTTTTTTTGAAGATACCAAGTTAGATATAAAGGTTTTTTTTGCAATCCAAGAAAAAATTTGAAATCTACTATGAGTTGATTGATATAAAAATGAATCTTTGAAAAAATGATTTTTTAATTTTAATTACTGTACTACCCCCTTAAGTGCAAAAACAAAAGGGTTTAAAGCCACGCGAAGCATTTTAACTTCTTTGGCTATTATATTTTGATTAATATTGATTTGTTTATTAAAATTCTATTGTTATTTTCAAACGATTTTTACTTACTCTAACTATAAGTGTGAAAACACGCGCAAACTGGCAGTTGGGAGATTTTTGAACAAAAATTATATTTTTATTATCGGATTTGTTTTATTATTTTATTACTTTTTTTTTCAATTTTTATAACTTTTTATAGTAAAGGTTTAGTAATTGGTGATTAGATTCAAAGAAGCGAAAACAGCGCCAGATAATTTAAGAATAGAAAGATCACGGGCAACGTGTAATCGAAATTGTAAAAGAAAAGTACTGAAAAAAAAATCATCATTGCTACACTAAATATTCCACGTAGGCCTAACCTTTTTTTCCGCGCAAATTATAGTTATCTTTTAACTGCTGTTAAATAAAAAAACGTCTTGAATACGCAGCACTAAAATATTAATAAAGAAGTTATAACAATTGTTAATAACTGTACCTCATAACTGTTAATAACTGTAACTCAGAAGACAAAGGTCGGTTGTCCAGTTTTTTGTGAAAATTAGTTATATATGAGACCTTTTTAGTTTTTTCCGTATCTACACATAGGTATAAAGATTGTTGTCCTACGACAATGTGAAACAAAGTTAGGTCAATATAAAAGGTCTGG